GGCCCCCGCTCCGCTGCCCGCCGGCGCCGCGTACAGCTCCGCGATCTCTACGGGCTTGTCCTCGGGTTCCGCCGGGGCCTGGTTACCTGTAATATTGAAAGACAAAAAAAGTGATCTCGAACCAGTTTAGCTCACTGAAGAGCTAATCTTCCACTGGTCGTGACAGAGAAGACAGGTGCTATGTACAGTATTTACAGGTTCATTGTACCGGGGAAATTCCCCTAGCTCTTTTCAACAAGCACAATGAACAATGGACCACGGCTTAACGTCCCGTCCTAAGGACTGCGACCCTAAACAGTAACGTGCATATCGGGTGAGCGACAACAGCCGGGATTCGAACTCCCAACCTCTTGGTCCAGGACTACGCACGCTACACGCAATAAAGAACTTTATTGTACATTCATACCACGACGGGTTAGACACATCACAAACGTATATAGAAAGACAAGATACACTAGCATATACCAGGCACCGCGGATCGCTGGAAAAATAGTAGAAATTGGCCGAAATAAAATATCCGTGGGTTGCGAATTGGATCTTCTCTGGTCGGCTACCTCCCCTGGTATATTATTCCTTTTTTTCGATTTCTACTATTTTTTCCAGCGATCCGCGGTGCCTGGTAGCTAGAGGCTAAAGATACACTACTTGACTTAGACATGATAAGGAACATACAACAGTACTATACTAGGCTAATAATACAAAGTGTTCCTCTTACTGAGATAATACAGGGTGGTCGCTGCCGCTGTATACCGGTATGTCTGGTGGTGAGGTTAAAATTAGCTATGTACAGCTAGAATACCTCACCACCATGTCCTGTATTATTAATGTCGAATTCTAAATTTGAAAAAAATACAGAGCGGTCAACTTACCGTCATTTCCTGACATGATACACGCTTTTATTTACGGTCGTCGGTCGAGAAGAAAAAAAATTCAGACAAATATTATTTATACGTCCTCCGCACGAACTGTTTGTCGGGCTAATGATGATGTAGGTCGATCGGTGTAATGTAGCCAGCTGCCGCCGCGCCACGTGCCTGCGAAGCTGGTGTATTACGCCGAAGGGCGGTTATACCGGCTGTACAGATACAGATATTGGTCGATCGGTGTAATGTAGTCTGTGTAACGAAAACTCTGCCGTCCGCGGCCAGCTTTAGTGGCCCCTCTCCTTTTTCGGAGGCCGGCTGGATGTTGGGCGGCCGGCAACCGTATTCTAAAATTGATTTAATCAGGCTAATGGTGATGAAGTGATTTGCGAGGGTCTGAATGGGGGTTAGTGATTTCATTACATTTTTATTTATTTATCCAGGGGTAGCATATCGCATATTACGAATGACACGAAATTTTCGCCGCCGATTACGAATTACGTTAGCTGATTACGGCTTCACGATGTCCGGTTAATGTACGATTACGAGTTACGTTGATTTTTTGGGGGAGGCTGTCTTCGGATTACGAAGACTAAAAAAGGACGTGCAGGCCCCTAATTGTGGAAGAGCTCCTAGCCTCCATAGCATGTAAAAAAACTGGGGGTTTTGGGGGTCTTCATGGTCTTTGGGAGCTATTATGCGCTATTTTCTGATTGCATATAAACAACATAGCCGGCCTGGTTGAATTAGCCCCGTTTTTTGAACTGGGATAATCAGAAAACAGCCGAAGACCACCAAACCCCCAGTTCTATAAGCCTGATACGGAGGCTAATCAGAAAACAGCCGAAGACCACCAAACCCCCAGTTCTACTCGTATAAGCCTGCTACGGAGGCTAATCAGAAAACAGCCGAAGACCACCAAACCCCCAGTTCTATAAGCCTGCTACGGAGGCTAATCAGAAAACAGCCGAAGACCACCAAACCCCAGTTCTATAAGCCTGCTACGGAGGCTAATCAGAAAACAGCCGAAGACCGCCAAACCCCCAGTTCTATAAGCCTGCTACGGAGACTAATCAGAAAACAGCTGAAGACCACCAAACCCCCAGTTCTATAAGCCTGCTACGGAGGCTAAAGACCTCCGCACCTAGCGACGGTGGTTTGCAGAAGTTAAACAATAAATAAAACGCGTCTGGGGAATAACGCGTCGTACTTTGATGGATGTACAGAAATGTCAAAGCATGTTGGACTCATGTAATCAATTAATGGCATTACTGGTATATTGATAGGTCCCGTACCTTCCATCCCCTTATTCATTGCTTGATCGGTCCCGTTCCTCCCATCCCCCTGTTCATCGCCTGATCGGCCCCTTACCAGGAAATACAGTAAGTCAGTTTGATCATGGAGGTAGAATTTTTGTTCTACCTCCATGGTTTAATGTTGGGATTCTCGTCCTCCAGGAGTTGGGAAAGGTCCGCGTTTCTTTTCTGCACTTCCTGCAGTTCCTTCACTTTCCGCAAGAAGTAGAAGTCGAACAATAAAAAACGTGTCTGGGGGATAACGTGTCGTACTTTGATTGATGTGCAGAAATGTCAAAGCATGTTGGCTTCGTGTAATCAATTAAAGGGAATTAGTGGTATATAAAATGTCACGTTGATAAAGGTTAGATGAAGGAAACAACATTGCAGAGTTACAGCAAGCGGCTACTCATCTGACATCTACATGCCCGTAGCCACGAGTTTGAATGGGGGGGGGGGGGTTCTTCCCACAGTCTGAGGGACCAGCGAGCGCGAGGTTCATAGAGGGGCCCGGAGCATGCTTGCCTGGAAAATTGGGTGGGTGGGGGGCGGGTTATATTATGATAGCCCGACAGTTACTAGTATCATCTTTTCAAACACTACTACACGTACTCTTATTTCGTGTTGACGTACAGTTCAACATCGCGTTTTGAAGCAGGTGCGAGATTCTCACACTTTTGATAAAAAGCCGAGGCAAGTTAATCTCATATACACATTGAGATGTACATTAATTATAGAAACTTTAGTTGCAAAATTATGCCCGAAGGCTAATTGCTTGTACAATCAAGTATTATACACATTGCAATACAGTAACAGGAGACAGGTAACAACTGTCTGGAATTTTTTTTTTACTTCTACTACTACGCTAGCTATTATGGGGTTCAACTACGCATTAGCACCACTTTTTCTCTTAACTGGTCTTTTACCCTCTTTTTCAAATAATGACTAAATAAATGTGATAAATAATCGGGTTTTTCATCAGGACTATTATGGCTGCTAACTAACGTTAGCTTCAGTTCACAGTGAACCATTCATGGCAGCCCTGATAGACATGACAGGCGGTCATCGGACTTGACGTTCTCTCTTGTTAAACAAGTGTCTGTGAATAAAGAACTTTGCTATTCAATCGTTCAACAACTCGACAAAATTATTTACGGGTGAGATTGTAAAATTGTTAACAACAGCTATATATTCCAAACAAATGTTGGACCCGTTATACTATTTACTTAGTACTTTAGTATATATATATATATATACATATATTACAACAATACGAATGGCATGAACATTTTACTTAGCTAGAACAGCCAAAGGCAATGACGCAATCAATAATATGAATATGTACACAAGGCCCAGCGGATGAACAAATAGTATTTCGGATTGATATTTTATATGCAAATCAATCAATAGTTCGTGCTTATATAAAACTGCATTTCTCCTGCAAGCCTCTAGTGTCACTGACGAAAGGTAGTGGATGCTACTTGAAACGTCTGACCGTTGCCAAAACCATATCCAGTTGCTTAAGCGACTGTTTTTGGAGTATTTCGGGTTGTACGTGCAACCTTCAGTCTACAGTGACTAGTCTACGATCCACACTGACGATGCTGCCCGCCATTTTCTCAGTCTCCCTCCTGTTTGTGATAACCAGCGCTGCTGCCGGCCCTCCCACCACCTTCGTCTGGCCCACCAAAACCACCAGCCCGACTCTGCCCACCAAAACCACCAGCCCGACTCTGCCCACCAAAACCACCAGCCCGACTCTGCCCACCAAAACCACCAGCCCGACTCTGCCCACCAAAACCACCAGCCCGTCTCTGCCCTGTCGGGACTACCTCAGGTTTACCTGCCCGCAGCTGAACTGTCCGGACGCCGTGCCTCACAACTACGACAGATGTCTGTGCGGGCACTGTCCTAACGGTACGGGTAACATACTATGCTGTTGACTTATTTTAAAAAGCAATGTAACATCGAGAGTGCAGTAGTGACAGTTCGTTAACGTTTCTGTAATCCTCATTTACAATAAAGAAACACAACTCCGTGTTTATGCTTGGACGTAGATGATTTGTTGAAACCTGTGCAGAGACCAAACCATGTCCCGGCAACATGTTCTTATTGAAACTTTTTTGAAAAGTTTCTGTTGCCTATTCCATGTTGTGACTGTTTGCAGGTCCGTTGACCACCGCGCCGACAACCGTACAGACCCCAACTCAAGCCACGGCCGGTATGACAACATATACTTAAAGAAACGTTTAGCTGAAGTAATTGAAACAAACTTTCAAGGAAAAGAAGGATTTTATGGATTTTATTAAAGATGTAGCCCTTTCCTTAGACCTTAGATCCTCCCGCAACCTTGTTGTGTAGGTTGACTCAGTAGCGGACATTATTTTCTCCAAAGGTTGCGGTTTAAGTAGGCACTACAATTATTTTGGCCTACTCTTTGCATGATGGCAACTAGCACTGAAAAAATGTCTACAGATACGGACAGATCCTCTTCGGATTTTTCGGACATACCCGTATTTTCGGATTCTTGTGGTTTCACACAATTGAATCCCAAAGATTCCGAAATTGCGTTATTTTGGCCTACTCTTCGCATGGCGAGTGTGATGTCAGCTCTTCTGTACTTCCTCCAGCTCCTGCGCTGAAATCCGGCATGCCAACTCTACGGACGACCGAGACAACGACCACTGAGCCTTGGACTACCACCTACCCTGCCACAACCTGTATCTGCGGACATTGCTAGTATGCTAAGACTAATGCTTTATTCTTTAAGCTTTTTGTGTAAACACGAATACATCATACATGTATATTTACATGACCTTGCAAGCCTCCCATGTTGCCATATTCCTGAATGCATGTACTTGTACATTCTATTGTTGGTACTATTCATTCATCGTTTAATATGTTTAAGTTTGAATCAGATACAAGGACCCATGGTCCTACATTTGTAGGAGGTAGACATGAGTGAGAGTAGGATGTTACACAAACAGTAATCTACTGTCATGTAAATTTCTACAGCTTACAACTTGGCATTCAGGGCACACACTGCGGCAAATTGAATAGAATTGACTATCTCACCTCATGAGTTTTTGTGGTTTCCCACATTTCAATGTCAGCTCGGACTGTATTCAGCCCAGATGGTGGGACAATTTTCTCAAACACCAAATCCCCTGCATCAACGTTGTGCCCAGGGATGTTAAGATTAACATCTTTTCACACTTTGTGACCCAAAAGAATTGCAACCTCCTCTCCTGACTACAGTGACTACACTAACTTACTACCACTACAAAAGCCTGCTTCGCTTTCCTGTGACCTCTCGGTATTTTTCGCTACCTTCTTCTTCTTCTTCTTCTTCAAAGTACATGTCAAACTTCATTAGGTTGAAGGCTCATGACATGGGGGGGTGAGTGAGGGGTGGTCGCTTTCTTCTACCGGCTAACTACACTACAGCAGTCCAAATTCTTTTCTACATGTTATCAACAGTCCTGTCCCTTGGCTATGGAAAAAGCCGAGGTGCACTACCCGTACCACCGCCGGCCCCACCATGACCACCGAGGCCTGGACCACCACCACTCCCATCACCTACGCCACCAACACCCCCATGACCACCCCCCCTCTGCCTTGTTTGCTCCGCCGCTTGAAGAACCTGAGCTATGACTGCCTCGACCCTCCGTGCGTGGACAAGGCGGAGTACAACTCCTTCGCCTGCTCCTGTGGAACATGTCCTACCGGTAGTACATCATTCTGTTACAACAAACACATCTTTAGCTATGCTCTGTACATGTCTGTACAGCAAACCCCCGTGTGGCAAATCATTCACCATTACATAGTCGGCAAATTTATTACTACTAGTACTTTTTGTGATCCCAAAGAGTCTGGTGGAGACTACATGTAGCATAGAACACTAATAGCCTCTACCAGGCTTCGGGAGACGGCTGGAAAGAGTACCTAGGAATTGGCCAAATAGAGAGACTAATTAATAACATGCCGAGAGAGTTGGTCCGCTAGAGGAGTACAGTTTGCCTCACCTGTACTATACTCTCTCGCGGACCAACTCCTCTGTCATGTTATCTCTCTCTCTATTTGGCCAATTTCTACTCTTTCCAGCCGCCTCCCGAAGTCTGGTAGAAGCTAAATACTTACACAACTGAGTCAATATGCCATTATCTTACTTCTTCACAGGTCCGAACTGTTACGCCTGGGACGGTTCCATTATCCCCGCGGGGGAGCCAGTTGCAGTGGACGGTGCCATGTGTGAGTGCAGGTGGAAGACGTGGGGGGACAGGTTCTCCCCGTACGCAACCTGCAGATGGGGCGTCCTCTCGGGCTGACCGATAAACCATCGTGGCAACATACGAATTTTACGGAATAAACACAAATTTTACGGAATACTTTACGAACTTTATAGAATACAAACGAATTTTACGGAACGCATATAATTTTACAGAATATATACGAAATTTACGAAATACATACGAATCAACTTACGAAATACAAACATGTACAATCCATACTAATTTTGTGATCCAGGCGCAGATCACCATGTTAAAAAGGATCGTATGTTTCCGAGTCATGGATTCCATAAACTTCGAATTACTTCTTTAATTTTTTTGGCACCCCTGTAAGAGTGACATGGCAGTCTGCACACAGCAGAAAACGAGTGACAATTTGAAATTAAACAAGCAAACAAGAAATGGTAGAAATATACTTTCGTGAAATATTTTTGAGTTATGGTGAATTTCTTGTTTAATTCCTTTATTGAAGCTTCTCTGTGCATTTTCCCACTGACATGCGGTCAACAGACTCGAAACCATATTCCTTCTGGTTCAAAGCCAGCTTCTAGGACCTAACTTCCTGTGTCTGACCTTTTGTGAACGATACATGATGAACAATACAGCGCCATTGGACATGTGTTGAGGTGACATGAATATTTTTAAGCAAGGTTTTTATCAGAAAAAGAGTTACAATAACAACTGGTTCATTCTCACACTATACAACAATATGTTTTTGTTTATTCGTGAGCTGTAAGTAAAAAAAACGAATACAGGCATTGTCACGCATTTGTATTTGTACGCAATATCGCCTCCTCTCTACTTCTGCAGTTTTCGTCACGTTCTCTCTTTCCTCGCCCACTTGACGTCAAGATGACGTCAGCTGAACACCTCTGTCTCTATAAACAGCGTCATTTTACCTGGCGTGACTCAGCCCGGGGGAGGAAAATCAAAGAAGGCTTTTATTGTAATGTTTGTAGAGTTTTTGGCACGCGCCAGTGTTGGCAAGGATGTAATCTTGACCCTGTGATTCGGTACCCGCCGCACCCTGTATGCACCAGCGGTATTTGTGTATTTTAGCTCAGCGCCAGGGAAAACCGGACATTCGGAGTTGCTCCGTGTGCGCCGTACGTAACGCACGCTTAACCACATAAATAATACAGTCTCAATTTCTCAACCTACAGTGAAGATGTGGAAATTTGCCGTCTCGTTTGCGACCGTGTTCACCCTGCTGGCTTCATCTCGAGGTACATTCAAAACTTATTCTATTCCAAACTATTATAATGCTTCTTCTTCCTGTTGACGCCCACGTTCATAGGAGTTGAACATTCCGGCATGTAGAGGTCAGAGGTATCTGCAGAATTGTCCTATTCGTTATCCGTAATCATGTCTTTGTGTCCAGGCGTAGGTTCATTACAGGGAGGGCCATTTGTTATGCAAGAGAAACTCAGTTCACAGCCATAGACACAAAAGTGGCTACTGTGGTGGCCTGTCGTAAATGTAGCAGAATTTCTTCCTTATCCACGACTCGGATCTTTTACCTACTTTTGCATTACCTTACAAATATCAGTACAAATATCACGCTGGCATGTATTCTATAGGATAAGACACACAATAAACGTAGATGTGATAAATTGGAGGGTCCTTTTTTGTAGCATTGTGGTAAATTTGTATAAGACGTAGCACGCATTGCCATATGGAATTAGTGCTCACTGTGACAGTGCAAAGTGTTAGATATGCTGCTTTGCATTTAAAACAAATTATGGCTTATTTTATATGGTTTTACGTTATCTTATTTGTTCAGTGTATTCAATTATCCCACGGCCCTGTGATGCATATAGCTACTATCACATGATATCAAAGATACGCTGCGAAATAGAATCGCTTTGTTCTTGATACTAAAAACATTTGATGTTGTTCAGGCCAGGAGGAGTATCTGACCACGGTTGACCTCTGGGCCTTTTGGAAGCTACCTGTCCGCGGAGCCATGACCAACACGAACGTGAGAACGACTTGCGAAAGGGCTGGGATGACATACCCGTGCTATCTGTCCGGCACAGCCTCCTGCACCCACTTCTGGACCTCGGGATGCATCGTGTACGACGACGCCGGCGTCAGCTGTGACACTTTCGTGGTCTTGTCGGAGAAGCTGTGTGGATCCAGTGATGCCTGGGGCAGTAGATGTCACTACCTTTATGACACGTTCGTGTACATCCCCAACTGGCAGAGCGACGACAGCGCCTACGGTGTGGGCTTCAGCCACTCTGGCAACGCGTGGGGTCTGCATGGGGCAAACTACACCGACAAGTACGCCCTGTGTGCAGGTAAACATGCATCATCAACATGATATGATGGAGATCATCACAGATTAGAAAAGTAGCATTTGCAAAGCAAATGTATACTCTTTACCTTAACGTGGTGTAGCCTAACAAACTACTGCTCTGTTTATTCTTACTCCAACACATTTATATAGATTATAATATATATGGTACTCAAACACATTTATATATAATAAATGGTGAGCAGCCCCTCCAACTCTAACGACCTGCTACATAATGTAACTCAACACCACAGAGTGTCTGCTTCAGCACCAGTTACCATGGCGACAGGCGTCTGGTCCAGGTCATTGACCACACATAATATGTGTTTGGAGAAGAAATAGAGCAAAACAATATGTTTCCTTCTGCGAAGGTAAACATATAAAGTGATAGACGTCTGAGCAGCATAGCTACTTTATTTGAAGGATTTTGATTTGCACTACTGTTATGATTTTACCATCATATCATCGAAGAATGAATAATTGTACTTTGCAGAAGTTGACGGGTGTAGCAGCGATCCCTGTCAGAATGGAGCAGTATGCCAGCGGGAGGTGAACAGCTTCACCTGTCAGTGCACACCTGGTTATACTGGGACGTTCTGTGAGACAGGTAGGCCTGGTAGAGTCTAACGAATTAGTACCAATATTAAATCGGGCGAAGTCGGTACTAGCCTGGGTGCCATCCTCCGTAGTTTTCGCCCGCTCCCAAATGCCGCTGGCTACTACGGTTGTGGTAGGTCGGCACAACAATGCGAAATTTTGGTATGGAATCAGATCCTGTAGCTCATGACAGCGTTCACACCCCTGAGGTCTAGAGATTCTCATTGTATGTTTGTATCTTACCTTCCCTACAGATATCGATGACTGTGCGTCGAACCCATGTATCCATGGCAACTGCGTCGACCACGTGAACCATTACCTCTGTACATGCGAGTCGGGGTGGGCTGGGATCAACTGCAACCAAGGTATTCAGCCGGATCACCGTCTTAAAATTCGACTTGTTTACTTATCCCGACTTCTACGATTACAAGGATCACAAAACGCACGAGTCTGAAACCTACTGGATACATAACTTCAGGACGTCTCAAGTGACATCTGTCACTCTTCTTCAGCATCACTAAATCAACTGAGATGACGAGTCGCCACTAATCACATGTGAAGGAACTGGATAAAAACAGTTGAACATGACAATGAGCATGACTCGAAAGTGTCACTCAAAACGTCCAGAAGATAGTAACCTACGTCATGTGTTCCAGTAGTAGAGTTTGATCGTCTTTGAGTATTGTTTACCTGGATGTCCAACCTTCATCAACGTTACGCACTATTCCTTGACAAAGAGTCTAAACTACATGATATACATGTAGATAGGTACATTGATAGTGACGAAATACAGTGTTCTAAAGTCCGTATTTTAACCTCTCAGAAATCGACGAGTGTGCCGGTGTACTCTGCCAGAATGGAGGAGTCTGCCATGACCAGCTGAACAACTTCGCCTGTCAGTGTGCCCCTGGGTTCATCGGAGCACACTGTGAATACGGTAGGGCAGGAATGCACTTTTTGCGTTGTTTGCGATCTGTTTGTACAATATTTTTCCACTGAGGCTCCTTCCTCTTCCTCTACCAATCAGGAACCTATTTCTGTTATTCGCTGTACAAGTATTGTCCCAAGAATTCACAGCCCTATAAATCATAACTTACATGAAAGTTCATCTGTGTTGGTAATTACATGTTTAAAGTTAAAACTGGTCGACAGCTTTATGTGAGAGTACTTCTTTGTGTTGGATCAAAAGTTTTAATTTTAAAAAAAGTCATAAATTTGTTTTTTTTTTTTCTTGCATGACACGCTCAGAGATCAACGAGTGCCACAGCTCACCATGCGTCCATGCCCTGAACTGCATCGACGGAGTGAACAACTTCACCTGCCAGTGTGAGCCTGGGTGGACCGGACACAGATGCGACATAGGTATGTGTGTTGCCAGTATCTGCTTTTAAAACGGAGTCGGTACTATTATCAGTACAAGGCCATGAGTGCATACAAGTAAAAGTAAAAACATACATGAGCGGCCATTAGCCAGGTCTAAGCCAGCACATACATCTCGCCAGTTCTCCCCGTTTAACATTACTTTTTCTAGATATTCTAATTTCCAGTGTCTCTTCCAGAGATAGGCTTCTGCAATGTGAGGGCTTAGTTTTCACAGTGAATATAACAGAAGATAACTGCAAAAAGGCAAATAATCATGCAGCATCATTCATGGTGGCTACATGAACACGAAGATGATAGACGATGGCCCCCTGCATTTATCGTCACTTCCAGGTTGAAAAAAACACACCACACTTAGCAAGATGGTTCAAACCGAAAAGTTTCGCATGAATGAATGTCAGCAGGAATACTAGTCTTAACTGTTTCAAACCTTGTCAAATTTTGTCAATTTACGAAATGAACGCTTTGAAAAACTGGCCCTTAAAATTCAACAATATAGCTATAGCTTTCTTACAATCACAATGTTTATTGTTCTATCTCAGATATTGACGACTGCATCAGCAATCCGTGCTACTATGGAGGGACGTGCGTGGATAAGGTCAACGGCTACACCTGCCTCTGCCCGAAGGACGTACTTGGAGAAAAGTGTGAAACAGGTGGGATATCAATCTCCAAGCAGATCCTAGGGTGGCAGAATACAGTATCAAATTGACCAGGCAGTATCCATTGGCCAGAGAGGGTGGGTGGCGAATTGGACCCTCTCTGGCCAATGGATACTGCCTGGCCAATGCGAGATATTTTCGCATCGACACCCGCAGCTGCAAGCTGGGCTGTCAATACGCCTACCTGAAACGACTGACATTCAAGCCGCAGGTACCGATGCGAAAACGTGCTAAAAAGAGCCGAGGCATAACGGGGGCCATAAGTAAAATGTTTTACTTTGATGGGCCGCACGGCTAGCTTCAAACAGGTACATACAAACATAGAAAAGCTATACCTACGTGTTGCCAGGTCTAAATTGTTCCAGTAACTTATAAACAAAAGACCTCGCAAAACGGTTTATTGAAACAAACAGAGATTTTAGATTCATTTTGTTGAAAAGTTTATATGAACAAGTTGCTGATATGTTTGAAGGGATTTGGTTGGACATATAACTGTGAGACTGCGACTACAACATGCCCGTAGCCAGGGGGGGTTCGGAAGACCCCCCCCCCCCACATGGCTCACAGGTCCACTATTTGGTCCACCTTTTATCTAAAGGCCCAAGATTTTCTTTAAAAGATGGACTGATTCGTGTCACCAGAGAGGCTGGAATCGTGGGAAAACGACTAACTTTGTCATTGAAAAAAATTATCTCTGATTTTTTCTTTGAAATCCTCCAAAAAACGCAGGAAATGCCATTTCAGAAGGTTCATTTTTCAAAATTTCCCGGGGGAGCACGTCCACGGACCCCCTACGGCGCTCGCTGGTCCCTTCAAGCAGTGGGAAGAACCCCCCCCTTCAAAATCCTGGGTACAGGCATGCATTATATTGAACTTTACTTGTATTGTATTGTATTGTATTGTATTGTACAGTAGCAGCGGACTCCGGGAACAATAAGGTTAAATAGATAACACTAATGGAAATCCAAATCAAACAAACAATTCTGTCCGTCCGCAGTTTTCTTCTCTGAAGGATGTTACCAGTTCTCGCCCGACGCCCTCTCCCACCCTGATGCCCAGCAGGCCTGCAGTACCAAGAACGGCCACCTGGCGGACGTGAAGGACGGGCAGCAGCAGAGCGCCATCGCTGCCGGCATCGCGGCCACCACTGGAGTCTCCAACTGGCTCGGGCTGAAGTTCCTACCGGCAACTCTCGCGTACAGCGACGGGTCTATTGCCTCAGGTTAATGTATTACTGTGTATTATTACTCTCCAAACAGAGGTATGGGTTTTGGCTAATATGTTTGGTGTGTTTTTAGGCTTTTTTATGTGGCTTTTTTTTTTTCACCCGTATCCTTTTTACGACATAATAAGATACCGGTGCAGAAAAGAAAGCATGATAAGGAACAAAAATTAGTGGATATCGATGCAATTAAACGGCTGACAGTTTTCAAATGCTTGGGTGACTGTTTCATTGTGTATCCATATTACCTGGATGTCTTAAGCACTCATCGACGCATCCTATAGTGGGTCTTTATAATGATTTTTCACGATGTCACTGACTTGTATATTTGCCCCCCACCAGCCCCGTTACAGTGGTCCTCGGCTGAACCCGCCTCTCCATGTGACCTGTGTGTGTTCCTGGACAGCTCTGACGGCTACCTGGCAAAAACCACACCGTGCACAGAACGGCACAGCTACGTCTGCCAGGCTGGTGAGTCCACTTCACGCTCTTTTATTTAGCTATCGAGTCCCCCGGGACTCCCTCCCAATAAAAATGAGATCGGGTGATTCTATCATAATCAAAGGATTTCTCATATTTTCCAAGAACTATCGTACTGAGTGGAACTCGTTGCCACCAAGCACAGTTGGAACATCATCACTAGAATCTAAGCTTTAAACAACTTCTGCAACTAAATGTGCTAAGATTGAGTGTAACAAGTCGTTCGGTGTGATATAGCTAGCTGCCGCCGCGCCGCGTGCCTGCGAAGCTGATGTGTTACGCCGAAGGGCGGTTATACCGGCTATACAGATACAGAAGCTGGTGTGTTACGCCGAATGGCGGTTATACCGGCTATACAGAATCTGATACAGATACAGAAGTAGTACAAAATGTAAACGATGTTTCAAATAGCCCACATTACTGCGGACATTGTTTGCAAAGAGTAATATGATACCCTTATCGATGCCTTATGGTGATTCTAATTTCTAGACATCAAGCTGTGCGACTCAAACGTCTGTCAGAATGGCGGTAACTGCACTTCCTGCTTCGACGAGTCCAACACCTTCTGTGAGTGTCTCGCTGGGTTCGAGGGGAAGTACTGTGAGACTAGTAAGTATCAAATTCGTGAGAAGACAATATCCTCTATTTCACTGATGTTACCTGACTATTGGATTGCAGTCTGAGCGAATTCAATGTACTGGAAAGGACCACATACATCCATGCAAATTTGCAATAATTGGTAACCACTGTTATTGTTCCTACGGAAATATATTTAAGACTAGACAGGTAACATTTGCAAAGCAAATGCACAATTTTTACCTTCACCTGGTCTAGCCTAACAAACTACTGCACTGTTAATTCGTACTCCTGTAATATAATGTATGGTGAGTAGCCCCTCCAACTCTGCCCTGCTATGAAATGTAACCCAACACCACATACAGGGTATCTGCTACAGCACTAGTTACCATGGTGACAGCCGTCTGGTCCAGGTCATTGACTTTATCTGTTTGGAGAAGAAGAAATTGAGAGAGTTGAAACAATGTTTTCCTTCTGCGGCGGTAAACATAATTAGATAGATGCAATGCCTCACCGCACGTTTGTGCCGTTTAACAGACATCAACGAGTGCGCCTCCAACCCCTGCCAACACGGGGGAAGGTGCGTTGATCTGGTGGATTCCTACAGTTGCCGCTGCCCGACTGGTTTCAGCGGGGACAACTGCGAATCAGGTAAGCATGCACTTGATCCATGCTACTCTCGAAGCAGAGGTTTGGGTTTTGGGGGTATTTTAGCGTGTTTTTAGGCTTTTTTATCGGGATTTCTCTTTTGCAATGAATTTTTTTCCCACCAAACCCAAAAAATTCAGTGCAAAAGAGAAACCCCGATAAAAAAGCCTAAAAACACGCTAAAAATAACCCAAAACCCAAACCTCTGCTTGGAGAGTAGATCCATGCCTCTTCGGCGCCCATTTTAAAGATTAACTAGGTGTCCATTTTAAAGGTAACATTTGCAAAGAAAAGGTATAGTATTAACCGTTACATTTGGTCTAGCCAAACAAACTACTGCTCTGTTTATTGTTAGACTCATTCATATATATATGGTGAGCAGCCACTCTAGCTTTGTCCTGCCTCATAATGTAACCCAACACCACAGGCTGTCTGCTACAGCACCAGTTACCATGGTGACAGACCTCTGGTCCAGGTCATTGACCTTATATGCTTGGAGAAGAAGAAGAGAAAGAAATAGAGCAAAACAGTTCAAGTCTAAGGTCAACAAACATCTGTCCTCACTGGCTGTACAGTAACCAAAAACATTTTGAGTGGCTCCCATGAGCCTTTTTTGTTGTGAACCATGAAGGTGTTTAAAAACATTCATTATGATCCACAAAAGTAACCAGAGTCACACTAACACGGGCCTGTTTTCTGCATCAGACATCGACTGGTGCCTCCAGGTGACCTGTCCGTTCGACTGGACCTGCCAGAATGAGATCACCCACTTCCTCTGTCTGGGTAGGTGCTACTTCTGCAATTAGCACTAATGATCCTTATTTCAGAACAAAAAGGTAAAATTTAGATTCTATGTACGAGTATGTACTCACTCACTCACTCACTCACCACTCACTCACTCACTCACTCACTCTCTCACTCACTCACTCACTCACTCACTCACTCACTCTCTCACTCACCACTCACTCACTCACTCACTCTCTCACTCACTCACTCACTCTCTCACTCACTCACTCACTCACTCACTCACTCACTCACTCACTCACCACTCACTCACTCACTCACTCACTTACTCACACACACACACTCACCCACTCACTCATTCACTCTCTCCTATAGCTTGTAGGTGTTACAGTCAATTTATTTTTCGGCAGACATATACCTGATAGTATACATGGATGTTTGTAATAGATTATCACACGTACTTACAGCAATATTCTTTTCCCTGCGTTATGTATTACCTACTGATATTGGCAATCTTCACATAATGAGGTTTTCACTCAGTGCATCGATGTCTTGTTCCAGCACCAGTCGTTCGCCTGCTGGAGCCCTACCGGTGCAGCAGCGCCTCCTGTCCAGATGGCATGTACTGCAGGGAGGACGGCGGTGGATCGTTTTCGTGCTGGGTGAACTAACCACCTGCCGGCAAAACTTAATCTCCAAGCAAGCAGATCCTAAGGTGGCAAAGGAAAGTATGAAATTGGCCAGTATCCATTTGCCAGAGAGGGTCCATACTTGTGGTGTATGGACTCTCTCTGGAAAATGGATACTAACTGGCCAATTTTGCCACCTTAGGATCTGCTTGGAGATTAGTCAAAACTGGAGCGACGACCTCGGAGCTTTTACATTGATTGATCATTCTACTCTCTCGCTGATCGTGGAAGTAGAGAAAGGCCACAAAATGTCCCAACCAGCAGTGCTAATGTAGTGTTGTAATACTATAGTTATTAGGACATTGTTATGTCATAACGCGTATGGTGCACGCGAAGCTTTTTCATGTCCCTTGAATGTTAGATGTCAGTTGGTATTGTAAACCTTTTGCTGTAGAGAAAATTGAATCTTTGCTTTGTCTATTAAAAATGTCCATGTCACTTCAAAACACGTACACTGTCTCTGTGTTGCTCATCATGTATCATTTATCAGACCACAAAAGGTCAGACACAGGACGTTAGGTCCTAGAAGCTGGCTTTGAACCAGACGGAAGATGGTTTTGAGTCTGTTGACCGGATGTGATGTCAGTGGGAAAATGCAGAGAGAAGCTTCAATGAAAGAATCAAACAAAAATTCACAATAACTCACAAATATTTCACGGAGGTATATTTCTACCATTTCTTGTTTGCTTGTTTAATTTTAAATTGAAACTCGTTTTCTGCTGTGTGCAGACTGCCATGTCACTCTTACAGGGGTGCCGAAGAATTAATACGGTCCACTACTGATCTGCGCCTGGATCACCAAGTTAGTATGGATTGTATGTATTCCGTAATTTGATTCGTATGTATTTCGTAAACTTCGTATGAATTCCGTTAAATTCGTACGAATTCTTTGGTACCCTTGCTTTTAGGACTGGCCGGGGTGCCACGGTGGTTAAACTGTCAGCCCGAGAGGACGCCCCATCTGCAGGTTGCGTACGGGGAGAACCTGTCCCCCCAATTCTTCCAACTGCACTCACACATGGCACCGTCCACTGCAACTGGCTCCCCCGCGGGGATAATGGAACCGTCCCAGGCGTAACAGTTCGGGCCTGTGAAGAAGTAAGATAACGGCATATTGACTCAGTTGTGTAAGTGTATAACCTCTACCAGGCTTCGGGAGGCGGCTGGAAAGAGTAGAAATTGGCCAAATAGAGAGATAACATGATAGAGGAATTGGTCCGCTGGAAAGTACAATAAGGGTGCGGCAAATTGTACTTTCTAGCGGACCAACTCTCGGCATGCTATCTCTCTATTTGGCCAATTCCTACTCTTTCCAGCCGTCTCCCGAAACCTGGTAGAGGCTATAAGTGTTCTAAGCTACATGTAGTCTCCACCAGATTCTTTGGGATACAAAAATTACTACTAGCAATAAATTTGCCAAAAAAATAATGGTGAATAATTTGCTACAGGGGTTTGCTGCGAAAAATCTGACAAACATGTACAGAGCATACTACATTATAAGTAGCTAAAGACGCGATTGTTGTAATAGAATAATATATTACCGGTTGGGCAAGTTCCACAAGAACAGGCGAAGGAGTTGTGCGCTGTCTTGTCCACGCACGGAGGGTCCCTGCAGGTATACGTCAAACCGCGGAGCAAGCATGGCAGAGGGAGGGTGGTAAAGGGGGTGGGGGTGGTCATGGGGATGGTGGTGGTGGTGAGGAGGGTGGGCAGTGGGGTGGTGCTGGTGGTAAAGGTGCACCTCGGGACTCCTCGGTAACAGCACCAACTGGGCATGGGGTAACAGAAATTTGGGGTGGTATAAAAAGGCGTGGTGGTAGTCTCCGGTGCAGCGGTCGTCGTCCTCTCGGTCGTCCGTAGAGTTGGCATGTTTTTCAGCGCAGGAGCTGGAGGAAGTACAGAAGAGCTGACGTCACAGTCGCCATGCGAAGAGTAGGCCAAAATATAACGCAATTTCGGAATCTTTGGGATTCAATTGTGTGAAACCACAAGAATCCGAAAATACGGGTATGTCCGAAAAATCCGAAGAGGATCTGTCTGTATCTGTAGACTTTTTTTTCAGTGTTAGTTGCCATCATGCAAAAAGTAGGCCAAAATAATTGTAGTGCCTACTTAAACCGCAACCTTTGGAGAAAATAATGTCCGCTACCGAGTCAACCTATGCAACAGGGTTGCGGGAGGATCTAAGGAAAGGGCTACATGTACTTAATATTCTTGAAAATCCTTCTTTTCCGTGAAAATTTTGTCTCAACAACTTCAGCTAAACGTTTCTTTAAGTATATGTTGTCATACCGGCCGTGGCTTGAGTTGGGGTCTGTGCGGTTGTCGGCGCGGTGGTCAACGGACCTGCAAACAGTCACAACATGGAATAGGCAACAGAGACTTTTCAAAAAAGTTTCAATAAGAACATGTTGCAGGACATGGTTTGGTCTCTGCACATGTTTGAACAAATAATCGCCGTCCAAGCTTCAACTCGGAGATGTGTTTCTTTATCGTAAATGAGGATTACAGAAACGTTAACGAACTGTCCCTACTGCACTCTCAATGTTACATTGCTTTTAAATTAGTCAACAGCATAATATGTTACCCGCACCGTTAGGACAGTACCCGCACAGACATCTGGCGTAGTTGTGAGGCACGGCGTCCGGACAGTTCAGGTGCGGGCAGGTAAACCTGAGATAGTCCCGACAGGGCAGAGACGGGCTGGTGGTTTTGGTGGGCAGAGTCGGGCTGGTGGTTTTGGTGGGCAGAGTCGGGCTGGTGGTTTTGGTGGGCAGAGTCGGGCTGGTGGTTTTGGTGGGCAGAGTCGGGCTGGTGGTTTTGGTGGGCCAGACGAAGGTGGTGGGAGGGCCGGCAGCAGCGCTGGTTATCAGAAACAGGAGGGAGACTGAGAAAATGGCGGGCAGCATCGTCAGTGTGGATCGTAGACTAGTCACTGTAGACTGAAGGTTGCAGGTACAATTATAATCTATACACTATTTGTTCCTCCGCTGTGCCTTGTGTACATATTATTGATTGCTTTATTGTCTTTGGCTGTTCTAGCTAAGTAAACTGTTCATGTCAATCATTCGTATCCTATGTAAGACTTTCTTGCGTGAAAGAACTAAGTAAATAGTATTGCGGATAGTTATGCGTAGTTTTATGTCATTTTTTCGTTCAACATTTGCTTGAAATATAGCTGTTGTTCTTTTCGTCTGACAACTCCTACATGTTATTCGAGTTGGTGAATGATTAAATAGCAAAGTTCTTTATTCACAGCCAGTTGTAACAAGAGCCAACGTTTCTATGGCCGCCTGTCATCTTCACCAGCGCTGCAATGACTGGTTCTTGGTGCATTAAGCTTCCGTGTACAGTAAACCAGTCTTTATAGCCCTGATGAAGATGACAGACGGTCATAGAAACGTCGGCTCTTGTTACAAGTGGTTGTGAATAAAGAACTTTCATATTCATGTATATCTCTCTGTGTACATAAGATTAACTTCATCTTCATCTTCATCTTTGCCGGGGCTCTAGGATGTTGTACAAGCCCCGGCTACACCCCCATATAGCCCCTGTTGGGGCACTTTAGGGGGGACTTGGCTTTAAATTTGCATCAAAAGCGTGAGAATCTCGCACCTGTTCCATGCTCAGGATAGCGCAATGTTGAACTGTAGGTCAACAGGCACGAAATATCTAGAGTTTGCTACTGTTTTTTTTTATTCAGAAAAACAGTAATGAATACAAATGGAAGGACACAGACAAAATGACTACGAACTCAAGTTAGGTACAACTTATATTCTCGCAACAACTTTTACAATGAAAAATTAAGGTATTTCACAAGACAGTTGAAAAAAGTGCGCGTGGATTCATGAGACCTAGTTGAAGCGTGGGTCTAAACTCCTATTGTTTGAAAGCATACTATCAACTGATAGTCCACGATTTCTCAACTTTTAATCATTACATAAGTTTATCACAACATTACCTGTTTTTAAGAGTTCCATGATATCATACCTTTGTCAAATGATTTTTTTTTTTCTTCTTCTTTCCCGTACGTGCACAACCTCAATAAGTTGAGGGCTCTGGCACGGTGAGGGGTAGGGGTTTTTGGTTTGGATTTGGGGTGTCGCTCTTATTTTGTATTGTGTATATGTGTATATATATGTTGTTGTAGTCTGTTGGCTACAGACTACAAGCTCCTCAGTGGGCAGGGGCGCCACTCCCTGTCCGCCAGCTGGGTGGCGGTGAGTACCCGTGACTCTTGTTTGGGGTTACAAGCTTAAGGTGTGAATGGCATTTTTAAATTGTTTTTAAGAGTTCCATGATATCATACCTTTGTCAAATGATGTTAACCTCGACTTATGAGTTAATGTTTCTCATCATCATCAGGGTCTTTTACTGTGTAGCATACGGGTTCGAAAATACTGTCCTAACAGTTTGATACTGCCTTGCCAATTTTAAGGCATCCAATGCAATTTTAGGACGGCAATGCAAAACTATATTGACATTTACTGGCATTTTTGGCATACTTTCGCCCTCATTTCAGTTATATATAGCCACAAAACAAGCTACATGAGGTGCACATTTTATCATGCATTCTGTAAAATTGTATGAATTCTTTGGCACCCTGCTTTAGGACTCAGGAAAGACTGGCCGGGGTGCCACAGTGGTTAAACTGTCAGCCCGAGAGGACGCCCCATCTGCAGGTTGCGTACGGGGAGAACCTGTCCCCCCACGTCTTCCACCTGCACTCACACATGGCACCGTCCACTGCAACTGGCTCCCCCGCGGGGATAATGGAACCGTCCCAGGCGTAACAGTTCGGGCCTGTGAAGAAGTAAGATAAATATAGAATACAACACGGGGTATTCCGTATCGCCCGAGGTACCAGCCCGACCGCGCGGCGGATCGTCCGACGGCCGAAGGCCGGAGGGAGATCCGATCCGCGGGAGGGCTGGGACCGAGGGTGATGCGGAATACCCCGTGTTGTATTTTATTTATGTCATACCCACCTACGAAAACACGCCTTTCATTGCGAAATGAGCGAAATTTGGTGTCCCTAAACCCAAAAAACGCAACAACATGAATTCCAACGTCCGAAGTTTGCATTCGAATTTTCGAAAGCGTTGCACGCGGTTAGGGCGAAACGCGTTCGAATCGTTCTATGGAACATTTGGAACCCCCGGGCTGTACCGCTAGTTATCACACGGGCCGGAACACCCGTATCGAACGTAATCGCGGCCCAGGTAGGACATAAAATGGCATATTGACTCAGTTGTGTAAGTATAGCCTCTACCAGGCTTCTGGAGGTGGCTGGAAAGAGTAGAAATTGGTCAAATAGAGAGAGATAATATGACAGAGGTGTTGGTCCGCTAGAAAGTACAGTACAGGTGCGTACAAACTGTACCCTCTAGCGGACCAGCTCTCTTGGTATGTTATCTCTCTCTATTTGGCCAATTCCTACTCTTTCCAGCCGCCTCCCGAAGTCTGGTGGAGGCTATTAGTGTTCTATGCTACATGTAGTCTCCACCAGACTCTTTGGGATACAAAAATTACGAGTAGTTAGAAATTGGCCAACGATGTAATGGTGAATGATTTGCCACAGGGCTTTGCTGTACAGACATATACAGAGCACAGCTAAAGACGTGTTTGTTGTAATAGAAATTATGATATATTACCTGTAGGACATGTACCGCATGAACAGGCGAAGGAGTTGTACTCCGCCTTGTCCACGCACGGAGGGTCGAGGCAGTCATAGCTTAGGTTCTTCAAGCGGCGGAGCAAACATGGCAGAGGGGGGGTGGTGGTGGTATAGGTGCACCTCGGATCTTTCCAGTAACAGCACCAATCGTTACAGTATGTGGTGGTAGAAAACGGTGTGGTGGTACTACTGGTAGTCTCCGGAGTCCAGGTGGTAGTCTCCGGAGGAGTCCAGGGCTCAGTGGTCGTCCTCTCGGTCGTCCGTAGAGTTGGCATGGTTTTCAGCGCAGGAGCTGGAGGAAGTACAGAGAAGCTGACGTCACAGTCGCCATGCGAAGAGTAGGCCAAAATATAACGCAATTTCGGAATCTTAGGGATTCCCCAAGAATCTTTGGGAAACCCCAAGAATCCAAAAATCCGGGTATGCCCAAAAAATCCGAAGAGGATCTGTCTGTATCTGTAGGCATTTTTCCTAGTGCTAGTTGCCATCATGCAAAGAGTAGGCCAAAATAATTGTAGTGCAAGCTTTGGAGAAAATAATGTCCGCTACCTGGTCAACCTATACAACAAGGTTGCGGGAGGATCTAAGGTCTAAGGAAAGGGCTACATATACTTAATATTCTTGAAAATCCTTCTTTTCCTTCAAAAGTTTGTCTCAATAACTTCAGGTAAACGTTACATTAAGTATATGTTGTCGTACCGGCCGTGGCTTGAGTTGGGGTCTGTACGGTTGTCGGCACGGTGGTCATCGGACCTGCAAACAATCACAACACGGAATAGGCAACAGAAACTTAAAAAAAAATTCAATAAGAACATGTTGCCGGGACATGGTTTGGTCTCTGCACATGTTTGAACAAATAATCGCCGTCCAAGCTTCAACTCGGAGATGTGTTTCTTTATCGTAAATGAGGATTACAGAAACGTTGGCAAACTGTCACTATAGTGCACTCTCGATGTTACATTGCTTTTAAAAGAGTCAACAGCATAATATGTTACCCGCACCGTTCGGACAGTACCCGCACAGACATCTGGCGTAGTTGTGAGGCACGGCGTCCGGACAGTTCAGCTGCGGACACACGAACCTGAGGTAGTCCCGACAGGGCAGAGTCGGGCTGGTGGTTTTGGTGGGCAGAGTCGGGCTGGTGGTTTTGGTGGGCCAGACGAAGGGGACGGAGGTGGTGGGAGGGCCGGCAGCAGCGCTGGTTATCACGAACAGGAGGGAGACTGAGAAAATGGCGGGCAGCATCGTCAGTGTGGATCGTAGACTAGTCACTGTAGACTGAAGGTTGCAGGTACAATTACAATCTGAAATACTATTTGTTCCTCCGCTGTGCCTTGTGTACATATTATTGATTGCTTCATAGCTCTTTGGCTGTTCTAGCTAAGTAAGATATTCATGTCACTTTTATATCAATGCGGAACGTTCGAACGTGAAAAATGCCCTCGTGAATGGACAACATACATGTATCAAGCCATTTTTGTACATCTTATATTACTTTTTTTATATTACTTACTAAGCAAAAGGTATTGCGGGTAGTGATAGAGTGGTTTTAAGTCATTTCGATGTCATTTGTTCTTTTATCCTGACAATGTTCCAACATGTAACTCTCACTGTGTACATAAGATTAACTTGACTCGGCTTTATGTCAAAAGTGTGAGAATCTTGCACCTGTTCCATGTTCAGGATAGCGCAATGTTGGACTTTAGATTAACAAAATATCAAGAGTCTGCAGTTCTACTGCATGTTTTCTTTATTCAGAAAAACAGTAATGAATACAAATAAAAGAACACAGACAAAGTGATTGCGAGCTCAAGTTAGGCACCACTTATGTTCTTGCAACAACTTTTACAAGGAAAAATAAAGGTATTTCACAAGACAGTTGAAAAAAGTGCGCGTGGATTCATAAGAGACCTAGTTGAAGCGTGGGTCTAAACTCCTATTGTTTGAAAATATACTATCAACTGATAGTCTACGATTTCTCCAGTTTTAATCATTACATAAGTTTATCACAACATTACTTGTTTTTAAGAGTCCCATGATATCATACCTTTGTCAAATGATGTTAACCTCGACTTATGAGTTAATGTTTCTCATCATCATCAGGGTCTTTTACAGTGTAGGATACGGGTTCAAAAATACTGTCCTAATAGTTTGATACTGCCTTGCCAATTTTAAGGCATCCGGCCGGGGTGCCACAGTAGTTAAACTGTTAGCCCGAGAGGACGCCCCATCTGCAGGTTGCGTACGGGGAGAACCTGTCCCCCCACGTCTTCCACCTGCACTCACACATGGCACCGTCCACTGCAACTGGCTCCCCCGCGGGGATAATGGAACCGTCCCAGGCGTAACAGTTCGGGCCTGTGAAGAAGTAAGATACATGTAATGGTATATTGACTCAGTTGTGTAAGAGTTCTAAGCCAGTCTTCACCAGACTGAAGAAGAGGGATAATGGCATATTGACTTAGTTGCGTAACAAATTGGCCAACTATGTAATAGTGAATAATTTGCACATATTTACCACACACACTGATGAACACAACGTACAAATAATCAAATAACAGAAACCTTAAAACCAATACAACTCATGAACTGACGTAAATTAATGGAATTCTACCGGTACCCATGTCATCTTTTTTACTTTCAAAAATTCAATGCCCACGATCGATAATGATCATTCTGGCATACTCATTTTCACCTGAGCAAGTGAGGAATTAATCGAAAGTCGTGTAAATTGCCTTTTCCCAGGGGCACATACACGGTCTCTGACTTGGCAGGATTCGAACTCGGGACCTCTTGGCTCCGAGCCGAATGACCTGCCATCGGACAGACAGACAGCATAGCTAAAGACGTGTTTGCTGTAATACTTGTAGGACATTGTCCGCAGGGGAAGGAGTTGTACTCCGCCTTGTCCACGCACGGCGGGTCGAAGCAGTATGTGATGGAACAGCCGCATATATTACAGCACATGGGTGGTAGGGTGGTGGGGGTGGTCATGAAGATGGTACTGGGTCGTCGTCGAGGGCTCAGTGGTATACGTCACCGTCTGCAGAGTTGGAATGGTTTTCGGCTCAGGAACTGGGGGAGGGCTGGCAGCAGCGCTGGTTATCAGAAACAGGAGGGAGACTGAGAAAATGGCGGGCAGCATCGTCAGTGTGGAGCGTAGACTAGTCACTGTAGACTGAAGGTTGCACGTACAATCCGAAATACTCCAAAAACAGTCGCTCAAGCAACTGGATATGATTTTGCAAACGGCCAGACGTTTCAAGTAGCACCCACTACCTTTCGTCGGTGAAACTAGAGGCTTGCAGGAGAAATGTAATTCGTTCTTGCATGACATCAAGTGTTTAAACGTGTCCTGCTTTGAAATGTTCTTACATATCTTGTCTATCGTTAATTGATATAAATACACAAAGTTGACCTATCAGTGCGCCGAAGTCCCACCAACAAAGATCTCCTGAAGATGAAAGGCGCCGACAGGTGTTTTGGGAAACAGGTGAGCCGTCCCCTGAGACTCCCTTCCCGTCATGCACCGGGCGGGACACTTTTTACAAATGGCGGCGGCCCAAACTTGGAACACAGCAACAGGAGGCGTTCGGTAAGGGTCAGGAGTTGTCTTTGCGCACAAGGTCGGCTTCTTCACCCTCTACAACCGACCGGGAGAACTATGACACCCTGAGAACAAGGTGGGTCAAGTTTGAAACATCCAGGTGGGGAATTAATGGTGTAAAGTGGTCGTTTTTTTTTCTGTGTGTGAGTACGCTTTCAATCGTTGGTGGTGGTGTTAGCGTGGGGACAGACGACAACAACAACATGGGTGCACTTTTTCTTTTAGTTTGAATATTTAGGGTTTACACAATTTTTCTTTGGTCTTATATTACAGGGCCTGTTTATTTTTGATGGTGTACACTTGTTCCTGGAACTTGTTTTGTCTTGAGTAAAGTTTGTGAACTGTATAAGCATTTCGATCGTTGGTGGTTTTGCGGAAGTACTAGACACTGTGAAATAAAAACAAAGCTAGAACTGAACTTTAAGTTTTAATATTCCGGCGTGTCTTGTACTACAAGGTTTCAAAAGATCTATGCCTAGTTCAGGATAACCCTACATGGTCTTCTTGAGTAAAGTTTAAAGAATTTTGAGTCAATTAATGGCGTTTTTTCTTTGATATATGGGTCAATACAATGTCTTGTTGACACTTTGTTATTTTGAGATTTATAAATTCCAGGCTAGCTTGCACTACAAGATTTCCAAAGGTCGATGCCTAGTTCAGGATAAACCTACATGTGATAAAAGTATGGTCTAGTTGTCGTGAAGTTTAATAATTTTGAGTCAATTAGTAACGTTTTTTTATTGATATATTTTATGGGTCAATACAATGTCGAATACTTGTTGACACTTGCTGTCTGTTGTCTCCAGATAAAATGATCTGGGTGAAAAACAGGTTTGATCGATCAAAAATTCAAGAAGCCTTAAATTATAAGAAAAACTTGAGAAGAAAAAAGTGAGAGCAATGTTCAGTGAAAGAGTAAATTTATTTGCTGCTGAATTTTCAACAAGCTTCTGAAACAAACTCATAACTCATCTAAACTCCCTGTGAACATTGTCTGTAGTTACATGCCTGTGTATCTATGTAGTATTATGTTATTGTTAGATGACATTTCTAACTTCAGTGAAACTTTGAAAGATTTTGTTTGTCATGTTGCATGTAATTATTATTCAGAGAAAGTAGTAAGCTTATATGTACAGTACAACTGTATTAGCAAGTAAACAGACTCACGTGTCATCAAACTCACCGTGAACATTGTCTGTACATGCCTGCCAGTGAGTATCAGATTCTATACCTAAGATATCTTCATACCGTCTTCGGGATGATGAGGTAATCCTGTGGTAATCCCGGTCTCAAACTTTACTCAAGTGTTATACTTAATATGCTCTCCCAGTGTTCGTCTAAGTTTGTCTTAAAGTTAAACTTATTCACTGTTTTTGAGTTGACTACATGCTACCTCAAGCATGGAAACAAGCCCACGTAACACCCATAAACAAGAAAAGGAGGAGAGACATTACTGGAAACTACAGACCTGTTAGCCTCACTTCGGTAGTGGGGATGTAACTAACATTTGACATTTCCAATGTCAGTGAAAGATCTTGTCTGTCTTGCAGGTAAACAGACCGGTTGCCTAGGCAGCCAGCGGGAAGCCCCTGTATGTACAGTTGTACCCTCAGGCAGACTGTAGATACTTAGACAGTGTAGGTTTACTACCTGTAGTAAGTCAGCACGTCGGCAGAACATACTGCACCTGCGCGAAACCCGTAATGTATTGTGCATAGCAGTTCGGCAGAATGTCTCATATAAGGTTGTATTCGCTCATATAAGGTTAGCATTTCGACAGTAGTTTCCAAATGTTATGTCGGAAAGAATATCCTCTCCAACAGGCAATATTCTGATGCAACGTTGACCAAAAACCCAACGAAAAACGCGAAAATACGGGGTTCTGCGCAGGCGCAGTACGTTCTGCCGACGTGCTAAGTAAGTTTAGTCTCTACCAGACTAACTACACTCTATATAGAATATTTGCCTGGGGAGTTTGGCCGCCTTGTGGTTTGACTGGCTCAGACTGAGGGTGACATTAACCCTCTCGCGGACTGACTCTCCTGAAAAACTATTTCCCCCAGTTTTGAGCAAAGAGACTCTTTTTACACAACCAAATCTTTTATTCAGCCGACGTTCAGTGAACGTCTGTCACCTTCCTCAGGGCAATTCTGACTGGTTCACACTGCATTGCAGCACAGGTGTTGCTGCTATAGAACTGATGCATTCCTTTACATATACTGAGGAAGGTGACAGACGATCACCGAAACGTCGGCTGAATAAAAGATCTGGTTTGTAAGAAGAGACTCTTTACTCAGTGTCTTACCAACCTGATGAAACTATTCACGGATATTTCCCTTTTTCCCTACCGAATTCTAGGATCCGTACCCCCGTAGGAAGGCCTGGTGGAGGCTATAGTTACATCTACGTGTACCTGCACATGTACCTGAGTGTTTACTAACGGAAAACCAGCTGTGCCAGTCTCAACATGAAGAGTCTCAGAGCAAAGTTCAGGAAGAGCGAGGTATGTACATTGTATACAGCTGCAAGGGTCATTATGTTTACCGAAGGAAAACATATTGTTTTTGCTCAGTTTCCTCTTCCTCTTCTTCTTCTCCAAACACTAAACTCTGACCTGGCCAATGACCTGATTTGTTGACGTCTGTCACTATGGTTACTGGTGTTACAATTTCATGGTCTTCTCTTCTCCTGTCACCATATACTTGTAGTACATTATTGTATGTGAATATGTTTGAGTAAAAATTAACAGGGCAGACCATGTCCGAAGGTAAACATTATGTATTTGCTTTGCAAATGTTACTTCTCTAGTTTAACTTTATATTTCTTGTGTTATTTGGCCTAAGGCCCTTGAACTGTAGAACTTCTGCATATACATGTAGCTAGAACTTTGCAGTTGCTGTAAACCAATGATTAGCCAGGAGTGTTACAACCCAGGTTATTGTTTACATCAGCACATGATAGAAAAAAAAACTGAATTTGAAAAATACTTTATAGTATATTTCGAATTGCCAATTTGTAATCTTTATGTAATCAGCAGTAAAATGTGTATGTTTGTTTTGTCTGTCTGATGTGAAACGTATGTGAAATATCTTCTCTTCTAAATTAGGGTTACCCTTTTCTTCCTGACACTATGTGACATGCTTCATTAATAAATCATATATGACCAAGAATATTAAGATTACGAGATTTTTATGTATAACTATAAGTATAAGAATCATTTGAATGTACGCTGTATTAGTAACTGAGCACAGTCAATCTATTATTAAATGTAGGCCCTGGTAGGGTAATAGATTTTCTCCAAGTTAAGTTAGACGTTCATTGGCATTGAAAGCTCCATCAAAAAGGTCCACCACAAAAATTATTTACAGTTTTCGCATCCAGCGTAAGACCCCATCTCTCAGATCAGAAGCCACAGGGGAGCAGTGCTTTTGCATAATGGATGAGTTGGCCTAGATTCACGGAACAGATTGTCCACATGCAAGGACAGTTTTCCCTTCAAGGCATTTGATAACGCCTGAGATGAATTATTGAAGGTGGTAAATGTGACAGCAGGTAACTCAATCTTCATAGAAGGAAATTAAAGAGCTGCATATGACTGAAGAGCACATGTAGATTGACTTCTGTAATATTTTATTACCTGAGGTGCCCTGTAGAAGTGCCAATTAATAAACTACCAGAGCAGCAAGTTTCACTAAAGAATTTCAAATCAAACACTCATTAAAAACTACTTAACTACTGGCCAGGTACAACACTATCACATTGTACCATATAGTGTATATAGGGGCAAGCTGAAAACAAAACCTATGTTGATATTCATAAGCATTCATCTGCTATAAAATTCTGCTGACTTGTTTGTTTGTTTGTGTACAGACCCAGGAGTGGGGTAAACATAACAAGCATTTGTGGCAGGCAGTGGAACAGGCTGACTTGTTTGTTTGCTTGTTTGTTTGTTTGTTTGTGTACAGACCCAGGAGTGGGGTAAACATGACAAGTGTTTGTGGCAGGCAGAGGAACAGGCTGACTTGTTTGTTTGCTTGTTTGTTTGTTTGTTTGTTTGTGTACAGACCCAAGAGTGGGGTAAATATGACATTGAGTGTTTGTGGCAGGCAGTGGAACAGGCTGACTTGTTTGTTTGTTTGTTTGTTTGTTTGTTTGTTTGTTTGTGTACAGACCCAGGAGTGGGGTAAACATGACGAGCGTTTGTGGCAGGCAGTGGAACAGGCTGACTTGTTTGTTTGTTTGTTTATTTGTTTGTTTAAGTACAGACCCAAGAGTGGGGTAAACATGACAAGTGTTTGTGGCAGGCAGTGGAACAGGCTGACTTGTTTGTTTGCTTGTTTGTTTGTTTGTTTGTGTACAGACCCAGGAGTGGGGTAAACATGACGAGCGTTTGTGGCAGGCAGTGGAACAGGCTGACTTGTTTGTTTGTTTGTTTGTTTATTTGTTTGTTTGTGTACAGACCCAGGAGTGGGGTAAACATGACGAGCGTTTGTGGCAGGCAGTGGAGCAGGGAGATGAAGAGAAGGTTGTTGCTGAACTCGGGAAGAAAGCTTCACCTGGCAAAATGGGACCGGAAGGGACATCAGCGTGAGTATTACATGTAGTAGCTACATATATATAGTTACTGTTAGTAGTAGTAGTAGTAGTAGTAGTAGTAGTAGTAGTAGTAGTAGTAGTAGTAGTAGTAGTAGTAGTAGCAGCAGAACAGGGAGATGAAGAGAAGGTTGTTGCTGAGGGAAAGCTTCTCCTTGCAAAATGGGACCAGAGGGGATGTCAGCGTGAGTATAGTATAGTACAATTTATAGTAATATTATCCAATGTTAGATTTTTCACTACAGTCTAAAGCTTTGCAGAAAGAAACATTGTTCTTGCACTGGAATAGAAGAAGGGAAAGAAGAAGAAACAAAGTTACACAAGGACAATGGTCTTGACCAGATGGCTGTCACCATGGTAACTGCTGCTGTAGCAGACACCCTGTGGTGTTGGGTTACATTTATGTAGCAAGTGGCATCATCATCATCATCTTCTTCGCCGCTCTCATCTGAGTTGGGGTTGGAGGGGATTAATTAGCCTGGGTACCATCCGGATTTTCGCTCCGCAACGCTAAAAATGTGATTTTTTTTAGCGTGGTACCCAGGCTAGTTTGTTGCGCTAGAACATGTGAAGAGAAACCATGTGTATTTTGCTTTAGCATATTTGGCCCAATCGCAGTGTCAGTAGTCTGAGTCTGAGTCTGACCCATTTGTGTTTGACCTTCCCAGGTTCCACCTTGCTGCGTCCAAAGGTCAGCTGGAGTGCCTGGACATCATGGTGGCTCATGGGATAGATCTCATGGTGACCGACACGGCCGGTCAGTCATTTTAGTCAGAATTCAATCTTTCAAAGAATTAGGGTGGAATCTTTTTAATCAGTGTGACTCAATTTAATAAAATTTGTCTTAATCTGTTAGAATGTGAATTCAACCTTGTCCCAGCTGCCTAACCCTGTAACCACAAATTTGGAGCCAAATGGCTTAGTAACCGTAGAGGAGTGAATTGCTTTGCCATTATTATAAAAAATCTCAGTCAATTCCTTTTGCGCTGTGTTTTTTTCTACCAATAAATCACTATCTATCTATTAAGCAGGTGTGTCACGCCGAAGGGCGGTTATACCGGCTATACGGATACAAATACAGATATGTAAACCAGCCAGACTGATATACAATGTATATTTTTTCTTACAGGGAGAACTGCACTTCACTCTGCGGCCAGAGGGGGCAGCGCTGAGTGTGTAGAACGGTTATTGCAGGTATGTCAGATGTTCAGTCCTCAGTGTGGAACTTTACAATCATGCGTTTCTGCAAGCATGAGGTGAAAGGATAACTTCAAGCTGAATAATTATATGTAGAATTGTTTAATACACGTTCTTTTTTGGCTGCATCCAAGACAAAGATGTTTCACTCACTCACTCACTGTCCAGTTTATATGTTGATAACTTTCTGGTGATTTCAATTATACCATTTCACAGAACAAGCTTCCTGTGTCCAGTGAAGACACAGATGGGATGAGCCCTCTGCACCATGCAGGTAAGTTTATAAAAACAACAGAACTGTAGTGTTTGTGTGTGTGAGATAGAGAAAGACAGAGAGAGAGAGAGAGTGTGTGTGTGTGTGTGTGTGTGTGTAATATGCATGTGCACACATTTGTGTGTTTCAGACCTATGACATTGTGGAAAGGTGAAGTCTGCCATTTCTGTCTGTCTGACTGCTTTGTTCCATATTGAAGAATAAATGTAGTGTATTTTATTTCCAGCTGCAAGTGTGTGTGCATGTGTGTGTGTGTGTGTGTGTGTGTGTCCATGTGTGTGTACATGTGTACGTGTGTGTGCATGTATGTGGTTGTGTTTCAGACCTACATGTATGTGAAAGGGTGAAGTCTTGCCATCTCTGATTGTATTGTTCAATAATGATTGTGTAACTTGTAGTTTTTTGTCTGTATTTCCAGCTGCAGGAGGCCACATCTCAGCAGCCCTTGTGCTGCTACAGTACCAGGCTTCCATCAACGCTCAGGATAAGGTCGGTCCTATAATTCACATCATCATCTACTGCATCTTCTCTCAAGCAGGGGCCATTCAAAAGAAAACAATGTACAATGGAGAAAGAAAGGAAATTCAGTGAAAAACTAACATTTACAAAGTGACGTTGTACATAAAAGTTGCCTAACAGTATTAATGGTTACAAATGAAAATGTTTGTCCATTTATTTGTATTCTCTATTGAATATCAAATCTGGATCTTGTTCGGTTAAAATTTCCTGGTTTATAAAATCCACCATAGGAAGGAAAAACTCCTATGATGCACGCGGCCAGTGCAGGCCATGTGAACATGGTGAAGTTACTGGTGGATCATGTGATTGATTGATTGGTTGATTGATTGATTGATTGATTGATTGCAGGAAGGGAAGACCCCCATGATGCACGCGGCCAGTGCAGGCCATGTGAACATGGTGAAGCTACTGGTGGATCATGTGATTGATTGATTGGTTGATTGGTTGATTGATTGATTGATTGATTGATTGATTGATTGATTGATTTATTTATTTATTTATTTATTGATTGATTGATTGATTGATTGATTGATTGATTGATTGATTGATTGATTGATTGATTGATTGCAGGAAGGGAAGACCCCCATGATGCATGCTGCCAGTGCAGGCCATGTGAACATGGTGAAGCTACTGGTGGACCAGGGAGCCGACATGAATGCACAGGACGGGGTCACTAACAGGTGAGCAGGCACATAGATACAACCAACAATATCCAGAACCTTAGTAAAAGGTTGAACTTTATTCCAACACACAATTGTACAGAGATCAAATTTTCAGCGACCACTGTCGCCTTCATCAGGATAATTAATGACCAATCACTTCACAACGTGGAATAAAGTTCTAACCTTTTACTATGATTACTACCAACACAGATGAACTTTCATGATAATATCCAGAACCATGCTTTATCCAGAACTGTGCTCAGGTTCGGTTTTGGATAGTCCATGAATATTCAGAACCATGCTTTATCCAGAATCATGCTCAGGCACAGGTCTGGATTGTCCACTCATATCCAGAACAGTGTCCTGGGAAAATCTACATTCTTGCATGGATACGCGGAGACTATCCAGAACCTTGCCTGATCCTAACCCTAACTCATTCAGGCATAGCACTCATTTGTTTCTACTCTTTATTTTTCAGCCAAAATAGTCTGGTGGAATCTAGTGAACATAAAATGGGTTTCCCCATGTTCCATGCTGAGTAAAACACAGACTAGAAAAAAGCTTAACCTAAGTTAGCAAGCCTCCATTTTGTTTGCCTGTCTTTCACCTCATATAGAACATAGAATACATGTAGTATGGGTAAGGGGTGAAGTCTGCCATCTCTGATTGCCCTGTTGTTGCTCTCTCCCTGAGACTGCTATTTGGATTACATATGAGGAGGTATGTGGCTGTGCTGCTGTCGTCTGTGTTGTGGTGGTGATGTCTGTAAATTCACATTATGTTACCGCTAACTGGTATGTTTTCTGTTCTCACATGCAGTGATGCACCTTTTTTTTTCAGTGTTGGGCATCTGAGTTATGCATCTGTGTTGTGATCATGCTTTCTGTGATATACTGTGAATTCAATAACTTTTTTCAGTGTTCGTACTGAGTTGCTCTACATGCACATAACTTTTGAGATGACGTGTTAGCGGGCTTCCCACATTAAATAACCTAGTCATTTAGTACTCTGTGTTTGTCCAAGTACTGCCTTGAACCAGGCATGTGCGCAAGGTAACAATGATATAATCAACACTGCATCGCACTGCTCATACACAGTTCAAACTGTGAACCGGCTCAGTTTGAGTACTGCTGCAATCTTCCTCTCTAAGAAAATGGCTGCTAAGTTAATTTGACACATTTTGTTTCCTACTGCATTGATGTGGGTGGTCCTTGTACAGGTCTAACTCTCTAAATGTGACTGTTTTCTTCTGTACTTGTTTTGACTTGTACAGGTTTAAATCATAATAAATTCAAACTTCTACAATTTATCCCAATTTCTCTAATCTTATACAAACAAAGAAAAAACTATTCTTCTTTTAACTTCCCAAAACCCACAAATTTTGGAAAAGATGGGACATTACGTCTTCCATGGCTTACAGAAGAGAAGTCAAACCCTTCAGACATAGTTTTAGACATAGTTATAGTTCTAGACAGATACCTTTTATCATGTAGACTTTAGTCATTTTATACTCTTTTTCATTGTTCTTTTATGGTTTGTAATGTGCAATTAGCCTCCGGGCATGAATTTGCAATAAACTTTTCTAAGAATGTGACTGTTTTTTGTTCTCAGTACTGCGTTGATGCAGGCGTGTGAGCGAGGAAACACGGAGGTTGTGGAGCTTCTGGTGAGGAAGGGCGCGAAGGTGGACCTGCAGGACGTGCTCGGGCAGACGGCGACGGACTACGCTAAATCAGCCGGGCACAACGAACTGCTGTCTGTACTGGAGATGGCACCTTCCACTGCTACATGGGACATTGATGGTGAGTAACACACACCAGTCCTGTATTTGTAAGATCGTGACAGACTATGCCAAGTTGGTAGGTCACAGCAAACTCATCTCTGTACAGGAGATTTTTTTAATGTCCCGTTGGTTAGAATTTTTCCTGAAATTTTTCTACATACGGAAAATGAGGAAGAGAGCCTAGCACACCCAGTAGAAGTGGACTAGTACAGGTTTGACTGTAGTTACATGACCATATGCTGTTGTTAATGTGCAGTATACTGTATATTTGCAGATGGAGAGGAAGAAAGCCCCGTGAACCCAGGAGAAGTGGACTATGTCGCTGCCTTTGATGCCTCCGATGAGTCTCGACCCGCCAGCCCCAGACGGTCTTCCACATCACCAGGCAGACAGGAGGTAGTGTCAGTGGACAGTGGTCAGTCATCACAACACACCGTAACCAACTCTGCTACAGCTGTGGCGGACAGGGGCAGTCGGGACTCTCTCTTACAGGTAAGAGGTTCAACTAACATTACAGGGGCCGCTCCAGGTAAATGACCCAGTGAAGCTTGTCACATGCCTTCTTTGAAGTGTGACGTCAACACTGGGTCACTGGGACGTGACAAGCCTCACTGGGTCAGTCTACTGAGGAAGACCAGAGTCGAAAGCTCTTGGTGAGAGAATTTTTTGTGTTGGACCAAAAGTTTTAAGTTAAGACACGAGGTGTAGATAATGTTTCTTTCTTTTTTACAAATTTGCTCAGTGGCAGGTCAAGCAACCACTTCTAGCCAGTGTTCTAGGCAGTATCCATCTTTCCATCATTAATGCCCAGTCAAAATTTGCCCCTCAAAATGCAGGGAGTGGTGTTTCAGAGGGCCTTTGCGCCATCATGATGTTACATAAAAAAACTGTTTATTTCAAATGCGAACAGTACAATACACTGACTTACAGGCAGCTAGGCTGATACATGTACAATGTATGATATGTAAGTCCAATTGAGATGACAGAAAAAAATGCAGGCTAGCTAGAACAATGCACTGAACTAAGGTTGGGTTACAGGTCAGTATCTCTCCTCACTAAATCAGGAACATGAATTTGAATGTAACTCCTTGTAATGTCTTGACCCCTGACGTAAGATACTGGTTGTCCGTGTAATGTCTTGGTTCCTAACTTAAGCTGCCTGTTCTCCTTACAGGAGTTGGAAGAAGAGAATGAGATGTTGTAATGACTTGGCTCCTGACGTGAGATGCCTGTTCTCCTTACAGAAGTTGGAAGAAGAGAATGAGATGTTGTAATGACTTGGCTCCTGACTGAAGCTGTCCATTTTCCTTACAGGAGTTGGAAGAGGAAAATGAGATGTTGAATGAGGAGGTGAACAAACTGAGATCCGCCCAGCAGGAGGCAACAGACATGCTGCACAGGCTGCAGGACGAGATGGACAAACAACAGGTACTGGGAACCGTGGTCAGACAAGCTTCTGGATAGTCTACTTGTATCAGCATGTTGGCAGACCGTACTGCACCTGCGCAAAACCTGTAATGCTTTGTGCACAGCACTTCGGCAGAACGTCTCATATAAGGTCGTATTCGTGCATAAGGTTAACATCCCGTCTGTAGTTTCCAAATGTTGTGTTGGAAAAGGTATTGTCTGCAACAGGCGAAATTCTGATGCAACGTTAACCAAAAACTCAACAAAACGGTAAAAAAGTTGGGGTTTTGTGCAGGTGCAGTACGGTCTGCCTCAGTTTTTAAACTCATTCACAAATGAAAGACAACATTTAGACAAATGAAAGACAACTTGGTAATTTGTTGAATTCAATTAATGATATAATAATCAGAAAGAATGTACATGTTTTTTCATTGTTCCTGATCCAGAATTCTGACACAGAAGAAAAGTTGGAAGACGAGGTGAAAAAGAGAATGGAGCTGGAAGATGAAGTGAAACTCCTGAAGGCACAACTCGCTACCTACCAGGTCTGTTCACAGTTCAGCTCAGTCCATGGTGCTGCAGCCCCCTCTAGCAGTTAACTAGGGTACTGCAAGATGGGAAGCCTTGTTTCTGCAGTTTTTAATACCCAAAGTATGAAATACTTATTGAACTGTGCTAATGTGAAGCAGTATGCATGTATCAATATCACAAAGGTTGCCTTATGCAGAATATTTCCAGTTTTGCTGCTTTGAAATCGCATTAGATACCTTTAATACTGAACTGTGTGGCTGAATGTTGAAGTTGACCATAAAATGTCCTCCCTCCAGCCAGACGATGATGATGATAAAGACAGCGACTCCTGGGGAGACAGCGATGATGATGACCTGTTTGACCTTCCCGGTGAGTCATTCGCAGCAGCCAGTAAAAAAAATCATCAAATTTGACTTAAAAAAAAACTAATTGAAGCATCACCTTTTCCAATGGGAAGCAAACCCACAGTTTACATTTGTTTGTGACATGCACACCTCACTACCTCATGCACGAAGAACTTCTTCGTTTTTGATCTGTTTGTTTGCTTGCGTGTCCATAGTTTGATACTAACAGTAGAGAGTCACATGATGTGAGGAGAGAGATGGTGTAACCGCAGACTGACAGCAATCTGTGGTCACAATGGTCTCCCTGCAGGTTAGGAGGAAGTGACAGTGGAATATACACAGCATCAGTAAGAAATTGCAATGAATAAAGAAAAAAAAAAAAAAAAGAGATTCACAGCCCAAAAATACTAATTTACATACATGTAGGTTTGAGATCTTCCATTTCTTGTTTTTGTTCCATATCTGATTCCCAATCTTGATCCTGCAGGGACAGAGAAAACAGGCACGAGTCAGGGTAAGCAGAAGCCAGCCCCTGGAGGCGAGGACCCGCAGCTGGTGGCCTTGCTGAGAAGTCAGGTGGTCTCACTACGGCTGGAGAACGACAGGCTCAAGGAACAGCTCGAGGTGAGGATTTAGGTACTAATGTACAGGTCGGGTAGGAAAGTTGTCACGGCCACTCATGCTGTGTACCGGTTTGCTGGACCGGTTCTGGACTTCTCTGTCATGACCAGTGGAAGAGTAGCTGTTCATTGAGCTAAACTGGTTCGAGATCACTTCCACTTTCGCTATTCAGACTCATGTCCGTTCTTCCCTATTTTCGAAGGCTTGGAATAAGATGTACAATGCAGATGCTTTAATTCCTGATCTCCAGCTAGATCTGTCTACTCAGCACTTTGGAGATGGATCACACTAGTTAAAAGTTTAGGACTATTAATTTTCATAATGAATTTGCTGTATGTCAAAAACTCTAAGGTTGGTTCGTCTATTTTAGATTTGCACAGCTCCAAATTTGGGTGCACTAACTTAAAGGTGCACATGCACCCGGTATTTCAAGACCTGGATATACATGCCAAATGAAGGTTGAAAGATTCATACTACCTGTACCCCTCCAGCATGTTGAGGACGGCCGGTCCCCAGCTGCAGACCCCGGTGCTGCCGGTGAAAACGGGTTTCCTGAGTCCGTGCCTCTGTCCGAGTACGAGAGACTGAAGGCCGACTCCGTGTCTCGGGCTGACTTCGACAGACTCAAGTCCGAATCTGTCTCCCTGTCGGAGTTCAACGACCTCAAGGCCAGCACGGTTTCCATGGCAACCTACAAACAGCTGCAGGAAGATTCCATTCCAAGAGAGGAGTATGAAAGGTTAGTGTTAAAAAATACCCAGCTGCAGTCTGTATTTTGCAGAGACATTTTCAATATTGCATATTAAGAAAAATTAAGCAACCTGTAACTTTGCCGACTGAAAAGATCAGGGTTCAGTACTGTAATTCCTGATTTTTTCACGGTACTGTTATGTTCACTGTTTTCACTGTCACTTCTGTACATGTACCATGAACTAAGTCTTATCATTACAGTTAACAAATAATTCCTGGACTTTCTCTTTCCTGCACCTGTCGCCACAGTGAATTTATATAGTTTCGTGAACATGTCCATTTTTCTCAGACCATGAACTTTTGCTACTGTGAACAAAAAGTGAATTACAGAGCTTTTGTGTTCACCACTGACTTGATAATATACAAAATAATAAGAAAATAACAATAAAAAGAATGTCCACTGTACCACTGCAGGCTGAAAACGGACACAGTTCCTCGGGAAGAACTTGACAGACTGAGGGAGGAAACTGTTTCCATTGCAGAGTACGAGAAACTCCGAGCTGAAACGGTCTCTAAGTCAGAGTTTGAGAGGATAAAAGCAGAGCTGGTCTCACTCTCACAGAGCGGGAAAGGTGATGAGGATTTCATTATGTTTACCGAAGGAAACATCTTGTTTTTGCTAAGTTTCTTCCTCTTCTTCTTCTCCAAACAGTGACCTCTGACCTGACTAATGACATGATTTGTTGATGTCTGTCACCATGGTGACTGGTGTTGAGTTGATGTACATAATGTTGCAATTTCATGGTCTACTCTGCTCCTTCACCATATACTAGTAATACATGTATGTGAATGTGTTTGTGTAAAAATTAACAGAGCAGACCATGTCCAAAGGTAAACATTATGCATTTGCTACTTCTCTAGTTTATTTCATTTATTTCAAAGCCCTTTAGCCCTTCAGGGCTAATCTTCCAAGGATCAAACATTAAAATTACATAATCACGTACATGGAAAGTACCGTGGATACATTTAAAAAGACATAAATGCATTAAAACATCAACAATGAACACACAAATTGATATTAACAATTTAAAAACTAGAGGTTGATGCTCATGTAACACTGTTTGCGATAGCTTTTTTGAACCTGAGTACTTTGTAGTAGGTTACTCAGTGTCTAACATGATATGGTAGATTGTTCCACAGCAATATTGCACGATACAGGAATGAACCTTTCTTACTGTTCGTCTTCATCTTAGATGATGCAGAAACCGTTCCGCTGGAAATGTACGAAAGGCTGAGAGCAGAGACAGTGCCGAGGGCAGATTACGAGAGACTCCAGTCAGAAACAGTGTCACGAGACGAGATGGACAAGCTCAGGTCAGTCTGCAGGGCTGGAAATACCCGATGCATGTGCAAAAACCTTAGTGCACCCAAAATTGCAGCTGTGCACCCAATTTTTTTTCTGTGGATGCACCAGTGCACCCTAATATTTCTATCATAATGGGATTATGTATGTAAAGATGCATGTATAGTGGTATAAAGCATATTCTTAAATTCTAAGTGTCAGAAAAATGCTAAAATCATTCCAGTAGTACAATTCAGAAGTGCGTATTGCAGAAGATGCTGAATTGTGCAGTTTAGGCATGTATTTTGTACGAATCAAATAAACGAACTAATACCAAATACAATACAACATACAGGTCTGAGATGGTCCCCAAAGCAGACCTTGAGAAGCTGAGGTCTGAGACGGTCCCTAAGGAGGAAGTCGATGACTTGAAGACGTTGATGGTGAGTCTTGAGGAGTTTGAGGAACTGAAGGAGGCCAACGACTCGGAAGTCGAGTTCCTCAATAAGAAGGTGGAGGAGGCGGAGAGGCAGTGTCAGGAAGCTAAGGCAATGGTGAGGTCCTACAGTGGTTATATAATGTGCATGTATCGGCCCAGGGGTCTACCCATAAATTTTGAGGGGAGAGGTGCTCCCTAATCGGTTGATGGAAAATCATTGAATTTTCATGTAAATACTAACTTAAAGAGAAAACCATAAATTTGAACATTTTAGAAGTGTATGGATGTGCATACATGTACATATGTATGACACATTGTGATGTATATTTAGTACTGATTTTTCTTTTTTTCTATTGCTGCTGTACAGGTGCAGAAGTTAGAAGATGACAACGCCTCCCTGACCAGGAAGTTAGAGGACCAGGTTTCTCCAAGTAAAGTTCTCGCTGACAAACATTCTCAACAGGTAGGTCTCCTCTACTCTCTTATTCTTCCAAAAGTCTATTACAAAATTGTCTACTTCAACTTTTACAGTACAGTATGTACTGTTGTAAACTTGAAGTAAAGTACCTTTTTGCTGAGCTTGTAATTATGTTGACAAACATTCACAGCAGGTAGGTTTTCTCCACTGATGTCGGCACTTCAAAAGGTGTGATCTAAGGTCCTCTACTTCAACCAACAACTTTGAAAATAAGACTAAGTGTATTTTGGTAGCTTACTGCTTTCTTTGATCAACACTCAGCATTTGGGGAAGAGTATGTAAATGCAACACTACTGATAGCACAAATGTGTGGCCCAAGAGCTACCAAAATGGAGATTGGCACCACCCTATGTACTACAATGTATATAGTATAGGTGTAGGAAGGAACTTTAACTTGACTTTGATTCTTGAACAGTAAAATATGTAAGTACCTGCTTCATAGTGTAATGTGAATGATTTGCGCTGTGCAGTTATTATGAAATCACACATGCTTTCCAGGTGAAGGACCTGAACAGCAAGCTATCGCAGCTACAGGAGTTTAATGAAGAACACGTCGAGACGGTCAAAATCACCAAAGAACTTCTCAGAGAGAAGGAGAGAGAGAACAGGGAGCTAAAACTATGTAAGAATGATATGATATGATATGAATTATTATTGCATGTTCTTGCCCAGATGGGCTAAATGCACAAGAGGACATGCAGTATGCAAAACATGAGTATTGCATACTGGGACGCTATATTCTAATGCTACAAATGTAATTGCAAGGAATCTATGCATCACAACAATACTAATACATGTACAATATAAAATATGACAACATCAAAGTGTGAAGAAATAAGTCTAATTATCACAATGCAAATTCAAACTTTTAGCAGGTTTCTGAGATAATTTTATTGTAACAGTTGTAACGTATGTATTCTTCTACATGTACATGTAAGTTAGGCCATGTTGACTTGATTATATGGATGACATCCTCTGGGAACCCCAAAACTGATGCGAGTGTGCTAATAAAAAAAAGTTGCTTTCATTATGAAATCTACGTGGTCATGAAGGTTGAACAAATGACACAGAGTATGGTATAGGGAATGATCTACTCTTCAAATTAATCTCTTAAAAACATTTTGAACTTTTCAAGTTACAGTATGGTTGAAAACTTTTTTTGTTTTTTGGAAACGGCCAAAAATGCAAACATGCGGATGTTACTCATATAATCAAATCAACATGGCCTTATGTCAACTCAATTCAGCTAAATCGACATAGCTGCTTATTTGTGAAAACTATAATTAAACTGTTTTAAGTGACTGTATTTTAAAAGTTGCTTGATTTATTTACTTGAAACAAGCGGTGAAATCTCTCCAACGGGAGGCGGAAGACGCGCAGGAGGAAGTCTCACTTCTTAAGGACCAGCTTAAGAAGGAGACGGAAGACGCAGCTTCGAGAAGCTCCTCGCAGGAGGCAGAGGTCAAGGTCATGAAGCAGGAGGTCAAGTCGCTGGAAGGTCGGGTGAAGAAACTGACGGAGGAAAGTTTGCAGCTGAAGGAACAGTTAAAGGTGAGGGTGTCAGCCACATGGGGTGTAAGGCCACACCGACTTAATTTTATGGATGACATCCCCTGAAGACCCCCAAACTAGTGCGTGTGGTGAATAAAAAAGATTCCGGCCAAATATCAAATTGCTACTAAACCATTATACAAAGCTGGTATTGTGAGTTATCAGCAGTACTTAGCGACGTATACGACAAGCCGGCACATGCTGCCAAATGTTGTGTACTTGTTGACGTCTTTATTTATTTATTTAAATTGCAAACAATACAGTGAAATCTGACGTCTTCTCATCATTTCATGAGTAGCCTGCGTCAAGTACATGTAGGCTTCGTCTCCTCATCATCCTTGTTGTGTAGCATGTATTAATTTTGTTAACCTTCACAGAAGGAAAATGTGTTGTTTTTGCTCTGTTTCTTTGTTGTCTTCTCCGAACAAATAAGGCCAATGACCTGAACCAGATGTCTGTCACCATGGTAACTGGTGTTGGGTTACATCATGTTGCAATTTTATAGCAGGAGGGATTTCGACTCCTGTCACCATATAATTATTTGACTCTGTTTGAATAAGAATTAAAAGAGCAGACCACATGCGAAGGTAAACATGATGCATTTGCTTTGCAAATGTTACCTTAAGTTTCTAGTTGTTTTTGGATACTTTTGAAATTTCAAAGAGGCTGTAGTGCAAGTTCAAATGTTTATCAAACTCACCACAGACGCATTCAATGCCTTTTTCAGCAGGCTATACATTGTGTAACACCTACAACTGTTACTGTGTAAATAAATGTCTCCTGAAGTCAAATTATCAGCTTAGAAACACTCTTTGAAATGACGATTGTGTATGAATTGTTGCATGATTGTACATGTATACTATAAGTAGTTTTTGTGTTTTTATAAATTAATGTATGTCTGTTTTTTATGGGTGACATATACCCTAAATAAAGAACTTCAATTTAATTCTGTTCAAAGGACCGTGAGAAAGACTCCGCCAGCAGAGTAGCGGAGCAAGAGAACCACCTGCTCGAGCTGGAGACTCTGAGCTTCGAGTTAGAAACCACCAAACAGGACAAGTCGAAACTGGAGAAGCAGCTGAAGCTGCTACAAGAAGAAGCCGCCATGAGGAAAACCGACGAGAACCAACAGTTGGAGGAGATGGACAGACTTAAAGATGAAATCCAGGAGTTAAAGTCAGAAAACCTGAAGTCTAAGGAGAAACTCAGAGACCTGGAAGAGGAGAATTCTCTCAAGGCTACGTTTGTGGAGAAAGAAGCTGTCCAGATGCAGTCTTTGAGAGATAAGGTCAATTCAATTTCAATTCAATTTTCAATTCATTTATTTATCCAGTAATTACAGCTCAGGCCATTTTGGCCTGCTTTTCAGGTAATCCTGGATACACATAAAAATACACACAACAAATGTACAGTACATAAAAAGATTGATAAATATAACATCCAGAACATTAACTAGATCAAGTCCTGCTCCTAATGATCTGTTTAAAAGTCCTGAGACTAAGGAGCTGTCGTTGCTGTAGCAAAAGAGTGTTCCACAGGTAAGGACCATAGTACTGCAGACTGCTCCGGTATACCGTGACTCTTACTGGTGGACAGAAGAGTAGGTGAGGGTAGTAGTCCCTAAGACGCTTTAACTCTGACTGAGTGGTCCGTACACTTAATGTTGGGGGAGACTCCCACTTGAACAGAGATGCCATGTACACCGGTGCAGGTCGAGGCCATGGAAGGAGAGAACTTGGACTTGAAGGTTGAACTTGAGGAAGCGAAGGACGTCACCGCGCAGCTGAACGACAGAATAAAAGAGCTGCAGGAGGAGAAGTTACAGAAGGTGACTTTATCTGTGTTTTTGCTGTCACATGTACATTCTTGCACATTTGTACATGTATGTACATGTATAGACATTTGCATTTGGGTTTGTGTTCTTGCCACAAAAATGCTGAGAAGCAGAACTCTAGTCAGAAGTTCTGAGTAAGGTGTCTGACATAGACATGGAAACGTAGGCAAGGTGATTGTGTATAAGAATACTAGTATACTACAGCTGCAGTGTACACTGTTCTGTACTTAAATACTTTACTTTTAAGTTATTAGAAACTGACAACATATCAGTACACGGGCAGTCGAAACTGGTAGCAGATGACCCACAAGTACAGACTTTATACAAACATGAATTTCTGTATGCTATTTAATAATAAAAAGTTGGATTGAAACTGAAATTTTAGGTTGGAGAAGCCGAGGAGAGAGAGTCTGTACAGATGCAGACACTGCGGGACCAGATCAGCTCCTTACAGCAGAAGAACAGCCAGCTCCAGCAGAGCCTCAGCAGTCAGGACGGGAGGATGAAGGAAGCTCGTGACATCAACACACAGCTGGGCACGAGGGTACAGGAGCTGGAGCGGGAGAGAGCGCTACGTATCATTGGGGACGAGACAGACTCCAACAAGATGCAGTCATTGAAGGACCAGGTGCAGTATATTTATTTTTTTACATGTACAATGTACAAGGATCCTTTAAGTCTCTTTGCCTTCTTTTTTATCTACAAAAATATCTACAGTAAGATCAGGATTCAAAGGTCTACAGTCAAACTAGAAAATAATGAGAGCACTCAGAATCATTGGGGATGAGACAGAGTCCAACAAGATGCGGTCATTGAAGGACCAGGTAAACACAGTGCTTGCATGTTTTGTTTTTTTTATTGCGTTTTTTCAAAATGTATACAAAAGAAAACCACTGCATGTACATGTATACAAAGTAACACACATGAAGGAAAAAAATCTGAAACATAAAATTGGGAGGGAGAAAGCTCTGAGGCTCATTGGGCAGGAGACAGAGACCAACAAGATGCAGTCATTGAAGGACCAGGTGCTGGATTTTTTTATCACTGATTTTTTAATCTTCAGAATATCTACAAAAAGAAAACCATAGCATAAAATAGGTAACATTTGTGTGGGAGAACAAAACATAAAATCAGGAAACGATGGTCTGTGTTCACGAGAAAATGAGAGTAATGAGAGTCCCTGTCCATCAAAAATAACACAACTTTAAGTTGAAATGACAACATGAACTGATGAAGCTTAGCCCACTTCCCAATATGTACAACTTATCATACACAATATTATTAATTATTAATATCTAATAATTTTGCAATAACATTTCAGCCAGTTTTTGACAGTTAGAGACAAAAGAATGAAACCTAGTAAGTTGATGACATTTCCCAATAAATATTACCTCAAACAATAATGTCATTGAGATTTGACAGAACTGGGCACCAGTCACTTAACCAGCCACCATACCCTAAACCCCAGGTGCAGTCTTTGGAGCAGGAGAAGCAGCAAGTCCAGGACAGACTGAGGCAGAAGGAAGCTGACATCACTAACAGGGTGCAGTCTTTTTTAACACTTTTGTTAACTTTAAAAAAAATATCTACGAAAGAAAAAACATGGCAATGTATACAAGATAACTAACACTCGAAGTCATGTGTAACAACAAACTTGAAACATGAAATCAGGAAACAATTATGTACAATCACAAGAGAAAATAATGAGAAACCCTGTCGATCACAAAATAACAGAACTTAAATCAAAAAGTGTACCTCACTAATCCCAATATGTTTCCAAATCTTGTAAGTTTGTAATTAAAAATGGCACATTCCAGTATTTGAAGTTAGAGATAAGAATTGAAGCTTGCTTGCTTCCCTTCGGACATGGTCTGCTCTGTTGATTCTTACTCAAACACATTCACATACATGTACTACTAGTAAATAGTGACAGGAGCAGAGCAGACCATGAAATTGCACCATTATGTAACCCAACACCAGTCACCATGGTGACAGACGTCAACAAATCATGCCATTGGTCAGGCCATAGTTCACTGTTCGGAGAAGAAGAGGAAGAAACTGAGCAAAAACAATATGTTTTCCTTAGGTAAACGTAATGAGATTTGACAGAACTGGGTATGAGACACGTCATTAACCCCCATCTCAAACCCAGGTGCAGACTTTGGAGCAGAAGAAACAAGAAAAATAATAAAATCTTTATCATTATGATAGTAGTTTTTGTTTAAGATTTTGAAGTTAGCTCCGATTTCATATTCAAGCTCAGAAGAGGATCAGTAAGATCTGTAATAATTATTAGGTTTTGTTTTATATGGTGCACCCAAAAATTTTCATAACCCCCATCTCAAACCCCAGGTGCAGTCCCTGGAGCAGGAGAAGCAGCATCTGGAGTCCAGGCTGAGGCAGAAGGAGGCTGACATCACAAACAGGGCAGCGGAGGACGCACAGATCCAGAGGAGGTTGGAGGAGTTTAAGTCAAAACTCGCTCGACTGGAGGAGATCAACAAGGAACAACAGGTGCAGAGACTGTTTCCTCTCAGAGTCTGCTCTTTCATTCCTTCGTTCATTTTCCTATAGTATTACTGTACAATTTGTCAACATATTTACTAATGAATTATTTAATAATCTTTTGCACCCGGTAAATTTGCAACATGGACAGAGAAAGACTTAGTCGATCTAGCTTGCCAACTTGACTGTTCAACTTTCACAGTAATTGACATTTGTGAAGGTTCTATATGCTACAGTGTATATCAGTTGAGTACACTGAAAATAAAACACTTCCCAACAAGCTTTTGATCAGTCCCTTGTTCTTTCACAAGTTAAAATGACATTAGGTCTACATGTATGTCATGCATGACACCAAGTTGAGATGGACCAGAGAATGATTCAAAGTTTGTTGATAAGTGATTAAATTAACTATGTGTATAGGACAATAAGTTGCCAGCTGAGTCATCTACGTACATTGTACACTGTATGAAGTTCAATAGTAGGAACTGTTACAGTAAGATTATCATAGTTTCAAACTGGATAAAAGTTTAAGAACCAAACATTTTGGGTGTTGTCCCAACACCCTTCATCTTACAAATACATGTACTACCCTGGATGACTAATATTCACAAACGTAATGGTAGGAATAGTTTGTCAATAAGACCTTCTTGATTCTGTTTTTACAGACAAGACTGGAGAAGCAGGAGTCAGTGATAGCCACGTCAGCAGCAGACGGGAAGCTGAAGAAACAAGTTGAAGTCCTCAGGAGTCAGGTTTCCAGACTACAGCAACAGCATGTGGTTCGTTACGCTCTGTACTTATTCAAACTGATTTAATAAAATATCTAACAGTAACACTTGTTTTTAATATTAAAATATTTAATCCTCCCAATTTTGTTTGTGCATGTCTTTGTGTATTTTACAGTGTACATGTATACATGCTTACATGTCAACACACAGACAAGGCAGCGTTGCCATACATTAATTTTGACTAACATACTCTTGCCATTTTGTCTGGATTGCAAAGCAGCATGAGTAAGGAGTCGAAGTGTGCCATCTCGGGTTGCCTTGATTTCATGTTTTATTCAGGAAGCAGACAGGAGATACAATGTATAGTGCACAAAATGTAACTGTGTGTCCGTGTGTCTGAGTCTTTTTATGATTCCCGAATATACACACTTAATGCCATGCATTTCATGTTTTACAACATTGCTGCTTTGTTTGTTTTGTTGTTCAGGAAGCCACCAGGAGACATAAGGAACAGATCAGCACGTACCGTACTCACCTGCTCAGCTCCATACAGGTTAGACTTTTATACATGTACCAATTTACCTTTCTCCTGAGGTATCAGTGTATAAAGAATGGAACAAAAAGTGCAGAATGATAGAGACAGAAATAGATTAGAAACAGGAATATTGGGTTGTTGAAGCCACATAATATGGATGTAAAGTTTCATAATGTGACTAGAAATTTACTTCCTTCTGTATTGAGACGGAGAGTGTAGTTTGTGATATGTTATATAAATGTTTACAAATAGATTGAATTGTCTTTTTCAAATTTAAGATCTTCACTTGTGTTTTTGTAGGGCACGATGGACGTAGAGGTGGAGACAGCCCTGAAGCAGATTCTACAAGTCCGGGGGTCAGCAGAAGACTATTGTTAAACGTAAGAAAGTTAAACAGTCAAACCTTACATACCATTCCATCCACCATGCAGCTCCCTGTAAAACAAGAAATCACCACAAAATTTTACTCTCCAAGCAGAGGTTTGGGTTTTGGGGGTATTTTTAGTGTGTTTTTAGGCTTTTTTTTCGGGGTTTCTCTTTTGCACTAAATTTTTTTTCCCACCAAACCCAACCTCTGCAGGCAGTCGAAAGCTTCAATGGGCTATAAACCTAATCACTTCAACACATTTCAGTCGTTCTGCAAGGAGTTGTGAACCAGACGCATGAATAGGCACAGTCAGCAGGAGGCGTGTGGCCCAATGAATGCCTTCCTGACTGGCTAGATGTGTGATAATCCACCACAATAAAATGGATATCCCTAATGACAGTTTGATGGTTCCCGGGGAGGGGCACTATCGCCTGTTTTGAATAGCTTTTAATAGGTTTGCCCCTCCCCGGGGTGAGTGCCGGCAGAGGTTGGGTTTGGTGGGAAAAAAAATTCAGTGCAAAAGAGAACCCCCCCCAAAAAAGCCTAAAAACACCATAAAAATACCCCCAAAACCCAAACCTCTGCTTGGAGAGTAACAAAATTTATCAACTTCAATGTATGTCTCTCATGTTAGCAGACATGGGACAGAAGTGTGAACTCTACTGGGTCTCTCTCTGGTTGTCCATCGTTTCCGATGATGACTGCTGTGCACAGCCCGTCAGGTGGGGTGGATCCTCTGGTGGCTTCTCAGCCCAAAGGCTGAGGCACACAGCTTCCCGCACCTGCTGCACTGGTATTCTGTAGTACTAGTAGTTGCTGTCCTATGACGCTTCTCCCTCACAGCTACTGGGTAATGCTATGCATTTTCAATCAATCAATCGATACCCTTTATTTATACTGGAAATGCCCTGTCGGCCTTAGCCGCTCTTCCCAGAGGTCCAGTTGAGGGGGGGTGGTCACGGGAACACAATAAATAAGTAAATAAAATTCAAATTAATACAAAAATAAATTACTAAATACCTAACATAATAATCATATCTTGTCCAAAATCACAATCCGCAGAATCAGTCCGCAAATCAAATTTCTCGACTACTTTATTCTTCGTTTGAAAGTTCTCAATGATGAGGCACACTTTCAAAGCTTTTATGAGATGGTCTAGTGTCCAGAAGCATGCCTATCTACATGTAGTTCTGTGCCTGAATGGGTTAAGGTAAGGTTTACACATGTAGGTACAGTCATTATCTCTACGTGTCCTGGAATATAGATTTGCCATGAACTATCCAGAACATGATTCTGGATAAAGCATGGCTCTGGATATTTAGTCAGTTTGAAGACCATGAACAGATGATATTCTGCTACCAGCACAGTCAAACCTTCCTTAACATTCCATCCACCACACAGCACCTTGTGAAACAAGACATCACCACAAGATGAATGTACTATGTCTCTCATGTTAGGAGACGTATGACCGTTTCGTGGGGCATCTTTAATGGTGCCTGGGTTTGTGAACCCTCTGGTACCAGGTCAAACAGGAGCCACTAACATTTACATATCAATTCAGATATTCATCTAGTATATAGTATAATATACACTTACTACTCCTCTTCTGAGCTTGAATCTGAAATGGGAGCTAACTTCGAAATCTTAAGTACTACAACAATGTCAAAGATTCTGATACTTAGTGACCAAGTATATCCGGTATATATTTCTAATGTAAAAAATTCCTACAGAAATACACAGAAAAAAACCTGGATGCACAGCTAAAATTTAGGTTGCACTAAGGTACACATGCACCCAGTATTTCCAGCCCTGGTTATGTAATGTTCCACCGGGATGTCTGACTTTCATTGACGTAGCTTTAAGGACAGAACGTTGCATTACCTTTCTCATTGATCACAGGCCTCACGGGCTTTGAGAAGCGTCTAAAACCATCGATTGGAGCTTCTTACATAATCTCCTGTCATCGTGTGCCTTAGAGACTTGTTAGATAACTATGTAGGTCTTATTGATTGGTAAACTATAGTCATAAGGCCTAGGGAAAAAATGTTGTGTTTCCCGACCAAACCTAAAAAAACTGCTGACCCTAGCCTTATTTTGGGAGTCCCCTGCAAGGGACATACATTTTTTTGAGCTGATTGACCTTTTCTAGCTCCATGATCTGACACCTGAGTGATGAGACGTTGTACAATCAGTTTTACAACATTGACATTGAAAATATGAGTATCTTTATGCAAGTTTAAATTGTGTTAAACTGTATTGTATATGTTGGATCACTCAGTCTAGAGATCGCTAAAGTCTAAAGAAAAAGAAAAAACAAAGATAATCCTTACCTAGCCTGTGTATACAAAGCTCTCGGCCGGAGGTTAATGACCCCCACCCCATTGGTGGGGGGCGGCAACCTAGGGCGGCGGCCGCCAGGAGCGCGATTTAGTCAGGCTAATCCTTACCTACCGACCCTAATTTTTTTCAGGACTGAAACAAGAAACACAATATTTTTTTCAGGACCCAGGGATGTTGGCAGGAATCTAAAACGATCGATAGACTGCAGCTTCTTACATAATCCCCTGTCATCGTCTGCCTTAGAGACTTGTTAGATAACTGGCAATATCAAACAAGCTATGAAGATTTTATTGATTGGTGGACTCATAACTGCCCAAGAAGACCACTCAGGGGACTGATAAAATCTGTTCTATGTGGACAGGTGGTCACTATAGACAGGATTCTTAATGCTTGTGTCAAAGGGGAAATTGTCTAAAAGGGACCACTAAAAAGTGGTCACATTGGCCAGATTATACTTGAATATTTAGGGTTGGTCACTTGTTCATGTTGGACTTTGGTTTGGGGTCAATTTTTTTTTTGGTCACTAGACTAAGTACAGGTTTGACTGTATATCAATGGCCAGGTGGTCCTTATGTAGAGGTGGTCACTAGTATCCAAGTTATAGGTTTGATAATCCCTACCTACCTAATTTCCAAGTTACAGGTTTGACTCATCTGCATGTTATGTATGGACTGTTACATGTACGTTTTCCATAATTTTATTATTATTGATTGAGATGCTAAGGCCTGCCCTGGGTGTTTCCAGACCTCTGAACCCCCCTGCCTGGATATGCGGCACCGACATGCACAGCATGGTAATGATCTCTGTATAATGCAAAATGTTATCCTCATATAGGACTGTTCAGCCATAGCCAAAGCTGTATGGCTGATATAAAATAGGATTTTACCGTGGTCAATATTGACTGAAGGAGGCTGTACAATGCAAAATTCAAGCAAGGAAATTGGTTGTTTTACATTGTCCAAGATTATATTATAAAGTTTAACATTCCTATCCAAGGGGACCAATCTTTACATGTAGAAACCACATTACTACAGTAACTTGTAACATTCATCTGAATGTTTGGTTTTTACAAGGTGGTAAAAGTGCATCCCAATGGAGGACCCCAATTGCGGATACAGAATCTGATCATTACTTCCAGGTTACGCTGTGTTACTCTCAAACTGACTGAAAGAAATCGCATTACACACAGTCCTGTATCCACTTACTTAGATATTCCGGTCACATTTTGGGGAAACTTGAGTCCAGCATTTCTCCCTCGATAGAGGGTACCTGGGAAGATCTACAGGTTTCCTAGCCGTGTGTCCAACATTTCAGTTACCCTGAAAGCTTGTTAGAGTATCAGAAATCTCTACTAGTGCAGTTCCAGGATTTCTGCTTCAATAGAGCGGTACATGTACATGCACTACTAGGAAAGGTCTCCTGGTTTTCACAGTAACTGTTGTGCTCCTAACACTCCAGTTACCGTGGAAGCTAGTAAGGGTACCATGCGTGACGTCAGAAATCCTAACTTGTGCCCCCCCAAGCCCTTTGCCCCCCTTTCAGCTTGCACACAGTATTTTAGCCCTGAGTTTGCAAGGTCTCCAAGTTTTCACAGCTTTGTGCCTAACACTTCAAGTACCGTGGAAGCTAGTAAGGGTACCATGTGTGACGTCAGAAATCTCAACCTTGCCCCCAAGCCCATTTAAGCCCCTTTTCAGCTTGCTACCATCAGGGTCAAGACTTTGGGGCAAGTTTACGAGGCTGTGGATCAGGTTGGGGTCAGGTCAACTGACGTAAGCCACACACGTCCAGGTTATTCTGACTTCGGCAGAGATTCTAGCCATGTATTACTGTTAAAAAGAAAATAGCACAGAAAAAAAATTAAAACACTCTTTTAAGAAGTAATTTGATTTGACAGGGATCAGTTTTTTGCAATTCATAGCAGTGACTAAATAACCCACTAGAAAGCAAGACTGTAGCTTCCAGTGTACATTTCACTGGGCAGATGTAACGTTACGTCATGTAGAAGTGAACAACTGGTGTATTTTTAGTTTAGGCTTCCTGTGTTGACTCTTCTGTCTGTCAGATCATGAGTACTGTAGTTTCTGTATTTAACAGTTCTATCAGTCAAATCTTGCATAATACCAGGTAATGCATTGTGAGTGTCACTGAGTAATTCCTGTGGACAGACATGCAGTCATGTAGGAGTGAACTCTGGTGTATTTTTAGTTGCTGGCTTCTGTATTCAGACTCAGAGCGTTGTGAGTGTCACTGAATAATTCCTGCACTGTAGGCAGATCTCAGTCAGGTCAGGTAAGAATGGAATGATCCATGGTGACACAGCCTAGACAGGCTTACATGTACCTGCAGAATACTGAAGAACTGTTTGTGGTCCCAGTCACATACATACTCATACTAGGGTGTTTCTGAGATAGTCATGCATGTGTGTTGATACATTCAGTGTTGTTTTGTTATGGAAAAGGCTGCCCAACATCCTTGTCTGCAGTTTGTGAAAAACTACATGCAAGTGGAGTCCCTTTCTTTCTTGCACCACTATTAAACTGGAACCAATGCCTTTGAAATAAGAAAAGCTTCTGGGCACACAAGACAAGATGAATTTATCGACTTGAAGACACAGTCATGAATGAATGACTATTTCAAGAATTCCCTAGTACGTACACGTACCTAGTATGT